TAAAATATGACATTACACACCACGACGATGTAACGTTTTCATCGTGATTTGAAATGATAATTATACGTTTTTAAATCACGACCTAGTAAAGGTACTATAGTCATTGGATTCCCAGTTTTAGTTTTACTTCTAATTTTGCATTTTTTCATCTTTATGTAAAAGACCGTCAGCCGACCACCGACCACATGTACCCAACTGTGGAGAGTGACTGGTCGGTGGTCGGTGGTCGGCGGTCGGTGTTTTACGAAAACCCTAAAAAGCGCCACATATGATAAAACTCGTTACCTCCTTGCCGTTGTTAACGAATATGTTTGAACATCCCTGAGCAGCTACGCCTTTTCCATACGCCGTTAGGACCTCTTTCTCCGCGAAGCCAAGTGCATCATCAAGTTGGTTCCATAGACGAGACATAATGGCCTGTAATTTTTATATATTAGTTTTACTTTATTTGCGCCTTGTTCAGATCTTGATTCGTAGACTTGTGAGGATCATGAATCTTAACACTAACTTAATTTCAACTAAAAAATGTTTCATCTTCCAGTCCCAGCTGGGTTCAATCCACCGATCATTCCCTTGAGTTGTTTCTTTTGGGAAAATATTATGCTCTCTAAGAATAAGTCTATCTGAATCAGTATGTTCTCTGTAAATTTTCATTACGACCTGTATTGCAGTTGAAAGAAAATAGTAATTGTTTTGTAGTGAAAAGGTATACATATGTATTACAGTGACTCAAATATCACCTTTTCTTTAGGGATACCTGCTCCATCAGCAATACCTTTACTTTCATCAACATATTGCGGGTATTTTTCATGCGCAGCTTTCATCATACTCTCGCAGAAATCTCGTCCCTTTTCGGAATGATAGAATTCTAACATGGCAGACATCTTCGGCTCTTGCTCTTCATAGTAAGTTTGAATTTCACTCTTGAAGAATTCGCCCTACAAGTAAGCCATTGTACCTTATTTATGCCTAGTCGGCTCTGCCCAGTAATTAGAACATTGTATTTTGGCCTAATATGATATGTCAAGTCGTCTGTTCTGCCTTACAGGTTGTTTTTACACAAATGTACATTGATTGAATGAATTCCAATTTATATCTTGACAAAATATCTTTTTGAAGAAAATATTTCAAACATATGCACAATATAGTGTTCTTTAACTCCGCTGTTGAAGATTGCCAAGTCTGATTACCAGTATGTAAGCGTGGTGTCTGGGCTAATTTACAACGTTGTTAAATCACTAACAATGATGATGATGTCGTGTTGTGTTTATAATATTTGAAAAATATATATAATATCATATTAATTCTAAAAATATACTTGATAAGATAAGACACAATTTGCATAATTAGTTTTAGGAATTTCAAGATTTTTTTGATACTTTATTTCAAGAATAAAACATATGTTATACAATTATACAAAGGCCTAGTTGCATTGTTTAATTTCTATATAGTTTTTCTTTTATCTGTACATAGTTTTTTAAAATCTGATATTTTCAATATGAACATTTCATTTCATGTTAATAATTGCCACATGAAAGTTCAATGTTTAGATAAACCAAAATATGCATATTTCATTAATATTGAACACACCTTATACCCATTTATCTACATTGTATTCTACCATTGTATCTACATTAATGATATTGCATTTCAAAAAGCTAGGTTAGGTAGCCTTAGGGTTGTCTAAAGACAATCTTCCTTTATTCAGCAGGAAAAAGCAAATGAAGGCATCCGATCACCGGTTACTGGATGCCTAATTATTCAACCCAGTATGCTAATCCATGTGCCTACATGCCATTCTGCATGTACTGTACACACTTTCACTAAAGAAACTAGTGAGAACAAATCAATAAACATGATATAACATAAAATCAATCAAAACAACCGTTTGATCTTTCAACCTACTCAGGGGATTACAAATCCCACAATACGGCCATGTACTCGTCTAGCACCTTACCGCTTTCGTTGTACCATACCCCAAGCATTCGGCGGCTAGGCGTAAGTAGTACATCCCCCGTTAAAATAAGCTACATAATGAGTGGATACTATTAAACATATATATGCGAATTCATGAGCTCACCTTTTGAAAACCACATTCATAGTAGCTCCCTCGCAAGAACAGCAAAGGCATTCGTGCCATCTTAATTAATTATTTTTGTCTCTGCTTGTTACAACTACTTTGTACGACAAGAAAATTTATAGAAGGTCAATGTGTTCTACATGGCCCAGTCATCGCGATCGGTACCTTTATGTTAATGTTTAACATTTACGAGGCCTGATCAAATAATAAGTTTATTTTCAAATTCTCTCATTTTTGTTTCTTATGATTTTACATTGAAATTTTCACAGAATTTACATGCACCACCAAATAAGGCAGGGTGGAGCAGCTGTCTCACTGTCTGTAAGGCGATTTCATGCCATTCATTGATACTCGCTAAGCTAATATGAAGTATTTACATGCCTTCAGAATAATCTCCGAAACACGCCTAACCACCGACAACGTACAGTGACAAAATATACAGTCGTACACTTTAGATGTACGGTGTCACTATTAACTGATTTGATGTACATTTTAAAAATTTAATCTGAGGAATACACACGCTGGAAAGAAATTTATCACAAAATTTATCAGTTGGAAAATGTTGGTTTTTCACATTTCCTTTGATAATTTTTTCCCCTGTCGCCTTTAAGCGTGTCGATTATTTTATGAGAATATGTGTCTGTCCGTCTGTACGTCTGTCAGTCCGTCTGAAAGATATGGTCACTGGCGACCATTTTTATGTGTGTTATATTACCTTTTTGCTATAACTGGAAAGGTAGTGGAGATTTTGTATTTTATATGTGCAGATAACTTTGTCTAACTTATGAAAATTTGGCATATTACACATTCTTATGTCAATTTAATTGGCTAGTGCGTGACCATCTTAAACAAGGCATTAACATGACAAAATGTCACCACCTAGTTAAAGCAAGATAAAAAAGACCTTATTGACATTGAGGAGGTCATTAAAGGTCAAATCTATTTTGACCTTGAGAATGTCATTTAAGGATCAAATCTATAGTCAGATTTGAAATGTTGAGAACTTGTCGATGATTTTGAAAAAGAATTGGTCAATTTCAAGACCTTTTTAACCTTTTTTTACTCAATTCAAAATCCGTTAATTTGAAGCAAGTTGAAAAAAACCTTTTTGACTTATTTCTGACCTTGAAAAGGTCATTGAAGGCCAAATCTTAAATATAAAGTCAGATTTGAACTTCTGAAAACGTGTAGATGAAAAAAAGTCAGTCTGTAAAGTATTCGTTAAATTATTCAGGGTTCGTACACACCTGGAAATGTCAGGGAAATTGATTTATTTTTCCAGGTGCTGGAAATGTCAGGGAATTTTAAAATTGGGTCAAAAAGGGACAAAAATGTCAGGGAATTTTGAAACAGTAGATGTGTCAGGGAAATGTCAGGGAATTTTGTATCATTGTTGAAAAAATAATGTTCCAGCAAAATACATTTTAGGGCTATGACAGGATATCAGTGAAATCCAAAATCATTTAGTTGTTTCCACAAATTGCAAATCTTTTCATTAGGGTTAATTGAATGACATTAGATCTGGTATTGTCTATTTGTAAGAACAGTGTGAACATTATACTGAAACTGATGTAAAAATAATGTATAGATAATTTAATACAATTATGCTTTTCCATGTTGTAAGCTTAGTCATAGGCCATTCAAAGTTAATTACTGGTATATGTTTCATGGTTTGTTGAGGGGTTAATCTGATGGGGGGGGGGGAAAAACAAAAAAATTCTGGGAGCTCTTGACAGTGTAAAATTGTATTTTTTGTATATTACATGTAAGAAGGCTTTGCCAATTTTGAAAACCTCAGCACATGGAAGTAGGCAACAAAAATGTGTGTGGGGTACTATTAACAGTTTCTTAATTTGGTCCAAATTTTTTCTTTGTGTAAAGATGAACCCAGCATTTTACTTTGGCTCAAATTTTATATGATGTAGCCTTTGGGACAAAGGACCTGCTCAAGAAGAAATATTCAAGATGGTCTCTGAATTAAAAATTGCCACCATTTTTTATGAAATTTTTGATAATTTTAAGAAATCTGATTCCTGATAACACAAATACAGATTATTTGATTTAGTATCATAGGCCTGAGCCTTATCGCGATGCTACTTGAAAAGGAAATTCTAATATGGTGTCAATTGTTTTGGTGTAATTTTCCCTAAAGGGAAAAGACAATAGTAATGCCAGGTTATTGCTATTATATAATGTTCACAATAATAGTATTCAATAAAATATGTTTCATTAGGTGGGAATTGCCCCTCAAGTGAGTTGCTTTTTTTTGTTCTTGTAGGATTGAGATAAAAATTTTAAAGTTTCAGTTGTCATTTGGATTCATTACAAAACATTAACAAATTAGTTTGAAATGCTTAGAATGCACCATATACAATGTCAAGTTTAAAAAATTTCCGGGGATGAACCTCTTTACACCCCCCCCCCCCCCTTTTGGGTTACTTTTGCTCGCAGTGATGCAAACCCAAAAAATTACACCCTCTTGACACTTGCTGGCTTCGCCCCTATACATGTATGTTTACCTTTGGCCTTATGCAATGTATTATATGTAATATTAAAAATATAATGTATCAGGAATAAATTGGTGAATAAGATGGTCTGTACAAGTAAAGTTAAGTCATGAGAAATGGTACTGAAGGAGAAACCCAAAATGTCTCATAATAAGTCTTTTGTCTTGAATAATACAATTGTTTGTTTGAGACTTTTTAGAGGCCGTGCGAGGAACATTAGATCTGGAAATTTCCTTTTTTGCCTGGAAATGTCAGGGAATTGTCAGGGAAATTCATTTTGAAAAAGGTGTACGAACCCTGTTATTGGAAGTTATAAGAATTTGTTACAGATGCCGACTGCCGATCGCCAACCACCAACCGCCGACCGCCGTCAAAAAACGGAGACCACCACAATAAGTCACCACTTTTTGGTGGTGACATAAAAAAAATGTGTTTAGTTTATGTTTTTTGCAATAACTGGAAAATTTATGGAGCGATTTAGATAATATTTGATTTGTCAATTTTTAAAAGCAAATCGCACTGTCGAATGACAATTTGGCAAATATGGGCCATTTTCAAATATGGCAGCCATTTTTGTGGCTGTTCTAGAATGTAAAGTCATTATGCTGTTCACTGCCATACTATTTCACCATATTATTTATCATCCATAACTAAAGAAAATGGCAGGATGGCGATTGGTTCCGATGTTTTGGGATTGTCTTTGTAAACCAGTACCCTTTTCCTTGTGAAGTCCATTACAGCTGAAACATATCAAAATTGCAATTATTCATTTGTATTGTTTTTTGGTAATGTTTACCATAGTTTATGCTATTTGCGGCTTGCTTCAGCTTCACTAATTTTTTTAATATTTACTCCGTTACCAAGGCCTGATCTTTTGGTCTAAAACTATTGAGAACGTGAGGTTAAGACGTTTTTTTCAAATAGCTGACCAGTTCATGCCCGTGTACTTGCCTTTAAATTGTAACAGGATAACTTTTTTACATACTTACAAGACCAGTTGGTGTTCCAAAGAAGTCCCTCTTCCCTTGCTTTATATATCGGGAAATCATCATGATTTTCATCTCCCATTATATTCAAAACACTTTCCAAATCATGTGGAGTTGGTAACTCATCAAATCTTGCTTGACGAATATCACAGAGTTGAACCCGTATACCTTTGTCAGGTAAGTGTTTTACACTGGAATATAGATACACATGCCCTTTCATCAAAAATTATTTCATTTATGATGTCTAACTATAATCATACTCTGAATTACCTATTCGCTTTTACACCCACATTTTCGTTTTTGAACGCACTGAATGAGTTAAGGATTGGTTAAGAATCGTAGTTGCCAATCTTCTTTGCTTGTACGCTGGAAAACTATAAATTAAACCCTCCAGAGACGAGTCCAATCCTTTACGTGTTAACTTACTGGTTGAAGTGCGAATATACACCTGGTGTTTCCTTCTCTATGGTTTTATCTTGTGAGATAGTGACCACGCTAACAGATGACTTCGCTTCAGTGCTTGGGCCAACCTCAACATTGTATAAATTAGGGTCATCAATGAACCCTGCATTAACACTATAAAGAACAACATAGTTTTGTCAGATATCGGAAATTACTCAATCATGACATTGACTCTGCTATGGAGTGGCCGATTTCTAGTTAGTGCACACTAGTGTACATTTTGATATTCATCGCCTTCTTTTTCCAATTTTCACTCAATAACTAATTTTATTGATTATATGGCGGTTTCCTTTCCTTTTGAATATTTCTCGTTTTGCATGTTAATTTTTCTAATGTGTATGCATATTCAATTGAATGACGGCAATGTCATCTCTTTCTGGATACATTAGAAACATCTATCAAATAATGCGACAAGCTCTTGTACCAGTATGAAGTACAAGTACGTGTTTGGTTGATCTTACCAGAACGTCCAGCCCCACCCAATACCATGGCCCTCGTCTGTTAAGATCCTCACCAGATCGTCCTTGTCCTTGGCATGCTGCATGGCACGATTCAGTATAAGCGATGCTGCAAATCAATTATCAATAATGGAGTTAAATAATGATAAAGGATAAGGATGAGGTTCCCCAAGATTTAATACTCTGCCCAATTAATTTAGTTACTATTTACTCTTAAGCATTGGCCATAATTAGTGCCAGTTTGATTATTATAATATTATATTACATTACTTGACTTCTTAGGTGCCAGTTCATCATTTGGGAACACCAAGATGTTTATATCGCCACACATCCCGTAATGGTTAACATAAGCTGCATTAACAATATTTGCTAAAATGAGAATAAGGTAACATTTTGAAATCATCTCTAAAAAACTTCATGCACCGATACGGGACATTGTTTACACGTGTAACAAATATGGATTATTGCCAGATGTAATGTCCATGGTAAAGACAGCTTTCTGCAAATCGTCATGGGAAAAGATCGTCAAAGATGCTTTATGGGATCACCAGGTAAATTCCTGGCATTTGGAAATGTTAACATTTAGAAAGTTGAATTTATATGTAGACGTTGTCATGTTTATCAAACCGATATCATGGTGGTGTGTGAGTAAGAGGTATCCGAAAATAGAAAAAATATGTTCGTATTGTGATGACACTATTAATGGGAGAAGGAAACTTGCCAGTGAATAAGGCACAATGGTCAAACGAGAATGACAGAACGTGTAAATTATGCAATATTGATGAAGAAACCTTAATACACATGGTACTTAAATGTGAAAAGTTGAATGAGGAGAGGAAGCAATTGTTGATATCGTAGAGGAATATGGATGCAATACAATGAACGACGAAAATAAACTGAGGTTTATATTCGATGAGTGTCAAATCCTAGACGATGTATCACTGCCATTGCTGTCGCAAGGTCAATTTTTATTATGTATCACAAGAGAAATATCTCCTAAGATATTCCCTCGGGGAAATAATTTACACTATTGCCCTCAATGGTAGTCACTATTTGTATACTACTGAATACATCACTTATTTATAACTTGTCATTCTACATAAGTCTATTCGTATCATAGGCATTGCAATATGTAAATAACGTGTATTTATTTTTATACTTTATACTTAACACACGTGTACAAATGTTCATCATATAAAATGTATGTAAATGTACTCATCAGAAATTGATGGATAAAATAAACATAATAAAAAAATAAATAAAAAATAAATGAAATAAATAAATAAATAAAAGACTGAAAGAGCCTGAAAATACTACACATTTTAAAACCATGCGTGAAGTTGTGCGCTTTTGATCAATGGATATAAATAGATTCAAATGTCAGCTCCTACACTAGTGGTCATGATACATAGTCTGTCATTGGAGGGGAGTACTTTAACTAATAAATTGGTAAGTATATTACAAAAGACACTGGTAAAAAGCATCTAAAACGACATAATTAAATATATTTAATGGGATTTCTCCATAGGCGAGTACTAATTACCAAATCAATGTGGTAATTACGTATCGAAACCAATACGTCCCGCAAAACCGTTACACTTGAATTTTAAATATACCACGTGTTTGAAAATCAAGGATTATGAGTCTCACACTGCACTGTTTTCTTCAAACTTGCATATTAACCGTGCATATTAGAATCGTAACAAAAACCTCGATTTTATGATTTATGTCAAATATATGACCGGAAATGTCTTTTAACAATGAACAGAATAAAAACTTCGGTCATATTCTTATAGTCCCTGATCTGGACCCTCTGAAAAAAAGTTTTGTTGTCCGGTACTTTCCCACATAAAATGATTGTACCGTTTGAAAGAACAGACTTCCCTCTTAAAGAAAACACCTCTTCTATTGATGTAAACAGGGGCAAAAGGCACCAAAACGGGGTTAGACAAGGTGGCATTGTAAAGTCTCACTTTCTTGTCATCACAATTCCAGGTAAACCATCAGACGGATTTACTTCAAATTTTCACACATGTTACATGGTAAGAAGTTGTAGAGCTGATTAACTTTGCGGCGGCCATCTTGCATTCTGGTGGCCATCTTGGAATTTTTTTCAGATAAATATTGTCATCACGATTCCACAAAAACCACATAACAGATGTACTTCAAATGTTCACACATGTTACATGGTAAAAAGTCCTAGACCTCATTATTTTTTCGGTGGCCATCTTGCATTCTGACAGCCATCTTGGAAGTTTTAAGATAAATCTTGTCATCACGATTTCAGGAAATCCAAACGGATGTGAATAACTTTTCGGCAGCCATCTTGCATTCTGGCGGCCATCTTGGAAATCTTGGGATAAATCTTGTCATCGTGATTCCAGGAAAACAACCTAACAGATTAACTTCAAATTTTCACACATGTTACACGGTATGAAGTTCTAGAGCTGATTAATTTTTCAGTGGCCATCTTGCATTCTGGCGGCCATTTTGGAAGGTTTATAGATAAATCTTTTTTTTTAATCATTTTATTTAACCTAGAAGGTAACAGTGTACAAGTACCATTATAACCCTCTAGGGTTCTACAATATATATATTACAAATAGCATGTAAACTTAAATAAAACTTAAATAAATATGTCAGATGAATCTCTGGGTGTGTTCAATGAACTTCTGTATGTGAGTAAAAATAGTTGAATTATCGTTGACGGATATGGCATCACTGCCATGTATAAGTAATTGGATTTTTGAATGTTTTGCTAAGTTCCGGTAGTTCCCAGTGTTCCCAATATCTCTCACTAGGGTGGCACGTGGGGCAGCGTAAAGGGGACAGTCAAAGAGAAAATGAGAGATATCTTCTTTAAAATAGCCACAAGGACAGTTTTGAAAGTCAATAAGATGATAAGAAAAACGCTGAGCATTCAAAGCACTAAGACCCATACGAATTCGAGAATGATTGATTGATGATCTGCTTGCCTTTAAGGAATATAGTGGATTTTTGGGGTTGCAATGGGATAGTTTGTATTTGTGTTTAAAAAGAGGAAGGTAGCTGATGCTTTTGAGTTCTTTGCTTAGATTGTTCCATTTATTTAAAATATAAGGTAGGAAAGAGGAGGAGGTCATTTTTAATCGGCAGTGGGGTAACCTAAAATCATGGATGTTTCTGAGTGAATATCTCTGTTGGGGGTTTTGGATGAATGGTTGAATCAGGTCACTTAGGTATTGGGGTGCATTTTTATTAGAAATTTTATGAAACAGGAATAGAGCATGCATTTCTCTTCTTTTCTTTAAAGTATCCCAGTCAAGCTCTTTCAAAATATTATTGTAGTTAGTGTGTCTATAAGCTCTGGTACATATAATTGCTGCATCCCTCTGAACTTCTTCTAAGATTTTGCTTTGGTTGTCAGTACAGTTATTGTATATGACATCACAGTATTCTAAGACAGATCTTACCATTGAAAAGTAGAGAGTTTCCAAGTGTTTTTTATCAAGATTGTATCTAAAAGCAGATCTTTTTATTAGGGATAGGCGCTTATTTGCTTTTGAGGCAAGTTTATTTATATGAGAGTTCCAGTTCATTTTGGACTGACGAGTTAGCCCTAAGTGACAATGCTCTTCGACATTCCTCAAAATGGTATTGTTTAAAGTTAAATCAGGGTAAAGAAATTTGTTCTTTTTCAGAGTTATGGTCAAAAGTTTTGTCTTATTTGCGTTAAAAGTAACTTTCCATGTTTTTGACCATGCTTCCAGGCGTGCCAAATCACGTTGTATCTTATTTGTACTGATTAATGGGTCTGATAAATCTTGTAATCACGATTCCAGAAAAACCACTTCACAATTTTACTTCGAATTTTCACACATGTTACATGGTATGAAGTTCTAGAGCTGACTTACTTTTCGGTGGCCATGTTGCATTCCGTCGGCCATCTTGGAAGTTTTTAGATAAATCTTGTCATCACGATTCCATGAAAACCACGTAACAGTTTTACTTCAAATTTTCACACATGTTACATGGTAAGAAGTTATAGAGTTGATTAACTTTCCGATAGCCATCTTGCATTCTGGCGGCCATCTTGGAAGTTTGTAGATAAATCTTGTCATCACGATTCCAGAAAAACCACTTTACAGATTTGCTTCAAATTTTCACACATGTTATATGGTAAGAAGTGTCCACCCAGCGGTAGCGCAGGTACTTTTTATGCAATAGGTCCTGGATTCGATCCCCGGTTGTTTGCGTGAAGTACTTCAGGGTGTTTGACTGAGTGGTCCGCAACTCGTACGAAAGGCTGTGGTGTGTACTTGTATGTCTATGTATAAGTACACATAAAATAACACAGGGCTCCTTCTAGGAGGGGTTTCTGGGTCTATCTTCCATGTTAATTACGTAAATTACGACCGTATATATACGGGACATACCCAAGAGGTATTGCTCACCTTCATTGGTGGTAAACAAAATACAATACAATACTACAGCTGATCAACTTTTCAGTGGCCATCTTGCATTCTGGTGGCCATCTTGGAAGTTTTTAGATAAATCTTGTAATGGCGATTCCAGGAAAACCACTCAACAGTTTTACTTCAAATTTTTACACATGTTACATGGTAAGAAGTTATAGAGCTTGTTAACTTTCTGGTGGCCATCTCGCATTCTGGCGACCATCTTGGAAGTTTCTAGATAAATCGTGTCATCGCGATTCCAGGAAAACCACTTAACAGATTAATTAATAATTTGCTACAAATTTTCACACATGTAACATGGTATGAAGTTCTACAGCTGATCAACTTTTAAGTAGCCATTTTGCATTCTTGCAGCCATCTTGAACGATTTTAAATAAATCTTGTAATTGCGATTCCAGGAAAACCACTTAACTGATTTTCTTGACATTTTTACACATGTTGCATGCTAAGAAGTTCTAGAATTGTTACAAAAACAAAGTAAACAAAGCACATGGTGAACAAGATCTGCCTAAAACGTAGCAGTATGGACTTGATGTCCCAGAAAGCAAGATGGCCGAAAAGTTAATCAGTTAAAGAACATCTTACCATGTAAAGTGTAAAAATTTGAGGACAATCTGTAAAGTGGTTTTCTTGGAATCACGATGACAAGATTTTGATCTTATGAGTATTGGATATCATTATTTTCAATTTTTCTTCAACATGTATTTTAATGACTTCAGTATGAATGGAATGTCCCTCGGAGTTGTGGTCGTTGATGAGGAATTGGTCATTGAACGGTGTGGATGCTGTTTATTCCCATATTAGATTATTGTCTTGGGATATTCAGGTTTGATTTTTGCTTTTCCCACTAGGTTGCTTTACACTTTTTTCCTTTCTCATTTGTCATTTTTGTTTATATTTAGTAAGGATATGATACGCAGGTCTCTCCTTCTGTGTGATCACCTGTCCAGAAGATAATTCAACTGCATGAAGAACATTTCGTTGACATGATGCACAGTGAAAGGTTTTCCACACATTTACATTTATGTTTAAAAGAGCTTTAATTCCGTTATATACTCAGATCAAGGCCAATTTAGCATACATTTCGCTCTCAAAAATCACTGTGCAATAATGACATTTTCAATAATCTTTTTTCTTTTTGATGAAATGTAGTTATTTATTCTTCAATCAATCGATCGATGTCATACACAAAATGCATTTAAGTGGTATAAAGTACAGAAGCAGAGTAAAAATATGTATTTTAGAATATCACCATGTTTACCCCATTGTAGCGCCTCTTGCCCATGTTTCTATCAATATAAAACATGATATCATACACCAAATATGCATTTATGTCAAATTATGTAGTTTAAAATACAGAAAAATAGATAACATTCTCCTTAGAATACCAACTTGTGTAACCCCACTTTACTGCCTTTTGCCCCTGTTTATATCAATATAAAAGGTAGCATGTAACCTTCCTTGTAACATGTGTAAAAGTTTCAAGAAAATCAGTAAAGTGGATTTCCTGGAATCACTATGACGAGATTTATCCAAAAAACTTCCAAGATGGCCGCCAGAATGCAAGATGGCCACCGAAAGGTTAATTAGCTCTAGAAATTCTTACCATGTAATATGTGTGAAAATTTGAAGTAAATCCGTTTGGTTTTCCTGAAATCGTGATGACAAGATTTATCTTTAAACTTCCAAGATGGCTGCCAGAATGCAAGATGGTTACCGAAAAAATAATGAGGTCTAGGACTTTTTACCATGTTACATGTGTGAACATTTGAAGTACATCTGTTATGTGTTTTTTGTGGAATCGCGATGACAATATTTATCTGAAAAAAATTCAAAGATGGCCGCCAGAATGCAAGATGGCCGCCGCAAAGTTCATCAGCTCTAGAACTTCTTACCATGTAACATGTGTGAAAATTTGAAGTAAATCCGTCTAATGGTTTACCTGGAATCGTGATGACAAGAAAGTGAGACTTCAGAATGCCACCTTGTCTAACCCCGTTTTGATGCCTTTTGCCCCTGTTTACATCAATAGAAGAGGTGTTTTCTTTAAGAGGGAAGTCTGTTCTTTCAAACGGTGCAATCATTTTATGTGGGAAAGTACCGGACAACAAAACCCCTTTTCTAGAGCCCTTTTGGAAATCAGATCGGGGACTATTACGCTATAAATCATAAATGGTTACCTGGATGGTCTCCTATTGTTAATAATTTTTGTGGCGGCACTACATCTCCATTTGGCAGAGTGTACTCTGCATAGTAGGCTAATTGGATGCATGATTTCATACTGGAAACCCAGTCGTTGTTGTGGCCAATGATTTTCTACAGTGTATTAATGTGGGCTGAATATCTAAACTATCTTGTTCGCAAATGTTCGCGTACTACTTACATATGTAATACATTCTAATTCGTACATTTGTCCACACTATGCGCACCTTACATTAACAACTTCTGAATTGAATTGGTTACAAAGGGATCGAAGTTGATACAAAATTAACATCCTCTGAAGCATTACTGCAACATATGATATAACTAATTACCTCTTTGTCGTTATTGACGAATATATCTGAACATCCCTGAGCAGCTATGCTTTTCCCATATGCCGCAAAAATCTCTTTCTCCGCGAAGCCAAGTGCATCATCAATTTGGCTCCACAGAAGTGTCATAATGGCCTGTAATTTTTATATATACTGCATACGAGCACGGACCTGTGAAGTCCGTGATACGAGTATGCGTATATTAGTTTGGGTTTGTGTAAAAAACCGGGTGACCGGGTATCGACCAGGTACCTAACGTTCCTAGCAGGGTTACCAACTTTCAAATTTCCACATTTCCCCCGATATATAGGAGCGAATTGACTTGACAGACTTAGCCTACCGAGTGCACTGCTGTTCGATATTTTTACCCTATACGTGACAGATTACTTTTTAAAATAATCGATCCAGCAAACAGTGACGTCCATGTCACGTTGCTCATAAGTAGCATATAAGTTCCTAGAAGACGTTGCACATTTTCGTTCTTTACACATCGAGGCAAGGTAAACATGAGACATCTGTTGATGGTATAAAAAGAACGTTGGTGTAACGAGTCCGTAAAGTTCTTAGTGTGGAAAACATAACAAACAGGAACGTTTGATTTTTTACTAATTTGGTCCATATGTGACGTAACTCAAACGTTAAAATTCAACGTTGTCAAAACAGGCTTTAATATCCAAATATTTGTTGGTGGAAAAAAACATGACAAAAACTTTGTGTTCTCACTAAGTCGGTTCATTTTTAAATTTAACGTTGTCGAAACGTTTTTTCGATTTGAAATAACCTCAAAACGTGACGTCAATAATGACGTCCATGGACCGTATTGATCTGACGTTATTTAAATATTCAGCAAAACGTCGATGGATGGTTGAAATTTCAACATTGTGGAAATGGCTTCAAAATATTTGTGAGTCAAGGAAACGTTACAAAGACATCAATATGTTCTCACTAAATCGGTTCATTGCCGACGTTATTATAACGTTAAAAGTTAACGTTGTCAAAACGTTCTTACGATGTGAAATAACCTCAAAACGTGACGTCGAAAATAACGTACATGTATCGTCCAGATCCAAGGTTATAAATAAAAAAAATTCCTAACCCTGCTAGGAACGTTAAGTACCCAGTCACCCGGTTTTTTACACAAACCCTTTCAATTTTTATTTACACATTATTGCCTAGACGATTTGCCTTGTTCAGATCTTCCGTTTTTTATGCTTTGATATTATACTCGTCTTTGAGGCTAAGACCATGTACTTTTCTTGAAAGTTTCGTTGAATAATTTTCTCAATGTAACTTTTTAGCACGAGTTATATTACAGCTGAAAAAAGCATTCTTAAACGAAGTTCGAGAGGGATATAGAAAAGCCGTCCTTCTCTCCGTCCGTCCATGTGTCCGGGCGATTAACTCAAATACTGATTGACGGATTGAGTTCAAAAATAGGATGATAAATAAATGTCATCTTTCATATATGTAAACGGATTTGGTTCAAATTGTACATGCCTTGGAAGGAGTTTTGCTCAAGAAGAGAGTTTCAAATGTAATATTTGATATCTCAAATAATAATTGATAACTAGAATACAAGTGAACGCATTTGGTCCAAATTGTATATGCTGAATGAGGGACACAGTAGCTTTGTTCGAGGTGGAATTTTAAAGATGGCAGTTGAATTTCAAAATGGTCGCCATTTTTCGTAAATTAACGTAATCTTTGAGAATTAAAATACCAGTGAACAGATTTGGTTCAAATTCTATACCTGATGCCCCGAGAGAGAGAATTTTCAAGATGGCGGTTGAATTTCAAAATGGCCGCCATTTAATCTTTGATAACTGAAATGCCAATTTACAGATTTGGTTCAAATTGGATATGTTGATGCCAGGGAACAAAGGTCCTCTGCTCAAGAAGAAACTTTTAAGATGGCACCTGAACACTAGTGGAATTTCAAAATAGCCACCATTTTCAGAAAAACATAATCTTTAATGACTCAAATACCAGTGGATGGTTTTGGTTCAAATTCTAAATGCTGGTATGCTCTGATCAAGAAGAATGCCACTAATTATCAAAATCTGTTTTGTTCAGTGGGATTTGCTACTCCGTGGAGTTGCTGTTTTGGAGCGACCAAGATACACATTATGAGTATCAGTGATTCAAATATTTACCTTTTCTTCAGGGATACCTGCTCCATCGGCAATACCTTTATTTTCATCAACATATTGCGGGTATTTTTCACGCGCAGCTTTCATCATACTCTCGCAGAAATCTCGTCCCTTGTCGGAATGATAGAATTCTAACATAGCAGACATTTTCGGCTCTTGCTCTTCATAGTAAGTTTGAATTTCACTCTTGAAGAATTCGCCCTGTAAGTAAGAAATTGTCTATCTGTTCTGCCTTGCAGGTTGTTGTTCATATTTTGTACAATTTACATCGATCGAATTACAAATATAATTATTTGAAAATTCTAAAGTCTGGTTACCAGGTTGTGGTGTCTAGGCAGTTTTGATGCAGTGTCACACCCGGTGATCGTGAAAATGGGACGGAGGGGGGGAGCAAGCAATTTCTGGTAGAAAAATGAACAAATCTGCAAAAATTATTTTTTCAATAAAAGGTTTATGATTTAATTGCTAAACGATAAATTTTGGACCACCCTGTAGTTAGCAATCGATTTGCATTTAAACATACACTGAATAAAACATACAAGAATGGTCTTAATTGTGAGATTGGTCAGTCACGGTAGCGCAATACAACGCAACACAACCCAAATTTTATGATGATAATGTCACTTACAAATATTTATTGCAGGTTGTGTAGACCGTTGATGCTTGATTTAAAGCAAAAACGTTGACTTTTGCACGTTGGTGGCGTTGCGCCTTTTTAATAGATCTTATACCTAAGAAGAGAATCGGCTAAAAAAAATTCGTAGAATACGCGACATATTTTACCATACCGTGCGCCTATTCATTTAGCAATTAAATCATAAACCTTTTCTTAAAAAAATAATTTTTGCAGATTTGTTCATTTTTCTACCAGAAATTGCTTGCTCCCCCCCCCCTCCGTCCCATTTTCACGATCACCGGGTGTGAGTGTAGAACCATAAAATCACATATTTTGATAAATAAGTGACAATGATGTTGTGATGGGTTGTGTCCCAGATTCCGGGTCACAATGGCCAACTTTGCCCCCCTCTAACCGTTTGTGTAGGTAACATGCCCCTTAACTGTTGAATGGATAAAACTGCTTCAAAATCGTCAATGAAAGTGTGAAATGTGTTTTCTGCTGAAATAGTGTCCCATGTGTCATGGGATATATTAAACACCCATTATATATGATTTATCAGCTCACCTTTTGGAAACCACATTCATAGTAGCTTCCTCGCAAGAACAGTATAGGTATTCGTGCCATTTTTATAAATCCAATTTGTCTCTCTAGTTGTTACAACTGCTTTGTTATATGTATATCTAAAGAAGGTCGGTGTGGTTTACATTGCCTATAATAACCAGCACTGTGATCGGTACCCTCATTTTAATGTTCTTCGTAACATCATAGATAATATGAAGTCAAACAGTCGTGACAGATAAAATAAATATATTCATGAAGTGCGAGGCAATAAACTCAAAGCTAAAAAAATATTTCACACATATCTAGGCAATATGTGTCCAATCCTAACACAGAACATGTCATATATACAATTTACTAATCGTCTAATGCACACAAGGTCATTTTTAGATTCTAGTGAAACTAATGAAACCGATAAACTGATCAGTTTCACAATTGAGTAAAGTATCATGGGGAACAGCAAGCCAAGTGCTTATGCAGGTCTTGAAAATAATTATGTTTTTAACTCAATTCGTATCTTTTAAGTGATATTGTATAAAATATTTTGCAACTTGTGTGAAAAGAACTTAGGCCGAATCACGGGTTTACGAAAAACACCGACCGCCGACCACCGACCACCGACCAGTCACTCTCCACAGTTGGGTACATGTGGTCGGTGGTCGGCTGACGGTCTTTTACATAAAGATGAAAAAATGCAAAATTAGAAGTAAAACTAAAACTGGGAATCCAATGACTATAGTACCTTTACTAGGTCGTGATTTAAAAACGTATAATTAAATCACGATGAAAACGTTACATCGTCGTGGTGTGTAATGTCATATTTTTAAGTGATGTTTCAGTTGTTAGAAGACCAATTTCATCCTGGTTAGTCACTTTGGAAAAAAACGCACGTAACATTGCATTAAGTTCATTCATATGAAACGCAATAACAAAAACACACAAACATCGTCGATGTTGACGTCGTAACGTTATGTTTGATTTCTCAGTTGTTAAACGTAAACTGGTAAAAACTACATTTGATATGACAAAAAAAGCTTTCTAATGGTGTCCTGAAATGGTAAGTCACTTTTAATCCCGATAAGAGAACGCATGTAGCATTATATCTTGTTCAGTATTCAGTAGGCTATGACGATAACAAATCATTTTTGTTTCGAAATTGTTAAACCTGCACATCGCTCCAAAATGCAATATGTTGACATATATTGTTTTTACATTTTCAAGCTCTAATATAAAGTTTATGTAAATAAAAATTGTTTTTTCCTGCATAATATCAAAGAACAATCATTTAGTTAAAAAAATTAAAAAAAAGGTTTGTGCGGGATTCCCAGGCCTCCTGCGTACTGAGCGAGCATTCTACCGCAATGCAACCGATGTATTATGATTTTTCGGAGTAATTAAACGAGACTTAGGTTTTATGCTATAATTCGGAAGTGACGTCACGTTCTTAATTTAGAAACCTTTCCAAAATCATATCGTCGTCACCAATCGAAGTAATTCGATGAACAATCTTTGAAATGACACATTCATCGTAAGTATTTATACACACGATTTGCACCATTTGTTCATCATTCTATAATAGTTCACCCCGAAACAACCCAAGATTGCGTTTTGGAGCGATGTGCAGGTTTAAATTTCATAAAAAGAAACGATAGGTTGGTTAATGATAGGTTAGGACCTAAGGCAGGACAATTAATCGAGAGGAGACGGTCATGCCCAATTTGTTTGCTTGCCATTCGTTGCAAGGTACAAAATCGGTAAAACGTTGCCTAGTCCAACGATTGACATTCAAAATCAAATTATTAATATTTTAAGGCTACAAATATGTTCGGTCTTTTACATGATATGGTCGGTCTTTTACACATTTTCTTCAAACCCTGTTTTGAGGCTACCAGTGGAAAACACCGACCGGTCGGTGGTCAGTGGGGTCGGTCTTTTTCGTAAACCCCCCCCAATCACTGCCGATACTCAATGCATTGTGACTGATTCATTCCACTCGATCGTTGTTTCCTCAACTTAGCACATGTTGCTACGCATCTTGTGCAAAGTTTGAAGGAACACCTTTGAAGAATGATAATCAGTCCATATGCACTTAAATACTTAAATACTTAAACAATGAATGGACCACAGTGGCCTCTATGTGCGAGAAGCCTGTTACCTGTGGTCATTTTTACAAAATAACATTTTTGACATTGAAAAGTTATATTTTCTTTGATGATATCGGAAATATGCTGAGAACAGTAATTATACTGTCACAGTATCCTGATAATAAAAATGAGAAGTTGATAAATCTGTGTCCAATATTTAGATTGGTTTTATAGAAGGTTTTTTGATTTCGTGATGACTTGAGCAGTAAGTAATCAATGGTTTTCTAGCATTCGCATCAGCACAAAAGAAATTTTTTAAAAGTCACCAATCTCCAAAGCTGCTGTCTGTCTGCTGCTGTCCATATATCTTTCATATCTTTTAGTTGAATGTGTTTTTTATTCATCCCTGATTTTTTAGCATAGAATGGGAGAAGGGGGGGGGGGATTTCACAAAATTAATTTTTAACTCAGAATGAATCGGCACATTTAATTCGTCGGAAGCCTATTATGATCCAATACGAAGTTATTACAAAAAGTGCGAACTTCCTACATTAATGATTGTCATTCCATTATGGCTTATTACATATTTTAACGAAGGCTTCTAATAATTGGGCTATCCTGCAAAATGTTTTCATCAGAATACTGAAAATATAGTAATTGGTAATGATGTATTACTTTGTAAAATAGCTATTAGACAGATTCAATGATAAATAAATAAACGATTCGGATATACTGTCAAAAATGTTTACAGTAAATAGCTTTATGATTGTATATTGTTTATTGTACCCTCGAAGTTTTTCAGTGTGCCAGGTTTTAACCTAAAAAATTTTACAATTGTGTCTATTAAATGACAAACTAATGCCCAAAATGAACCAGACGACAGACCAATATTTCTCATTTACTTAGAGAAAAGGAAATAAAGCAATTAAATATGATTTTATAAATTGGCAATTTGTTACACTTGTAAAATGCTAATCTTTCTTGATTTCCTAATGCCAATATAAATATCACCCGCAAACAACTCAAATCATAAAAAGTTGGATCAAACTAGACGATTCAAAGACTGCAGATATGATGAAGTTGATTCTGGTACTCAGGTAAGAGGAGTGACAGTTTTTATATATTTCATTTTGAAACAATCCATGACACGTCAAAAGACATTATAATATAAGGCGAGGCAATTGTCTTTTGAAATTCAAAAGTAATGTATTTTCAGACTTTTTCATCCAAAACTGTTAAAATGAGGTCCAAAGGTAGTGATATATATCCTTTATTTTAGTAGCGTAAATTAGCCTCGCCTATTAAGTTTTGCCTCATCCGCGCCTCTGCATTTTGTATATTTTAAAACATATGAACCTTTATCCTATGCCAAGTAGAGTTTTAGGGAGATAAGTTGGTACGATATATCCCGTATCCTGATTTTGAGGTTTCCATATCCTGAACCTCCATATCTCCCGCTCCAGGGCATATCTTCCCGCTTCGTAAAAAATGAAAAATAGGAAAAATTGAAAAAATGAAAAAATATGAAAAAAATAAAAAATGAAATAAAAATTAAAAAAAATTGAAAAAATTGAAAAAAATGTGAAAAAATTGAAAAAATAAAAAAGTGAAAAAATTGAAAGAAAATTAGAAAACTCTACTTGGTATAGGATAAAGCAGTTATGTACGGTCGGTTTGGATATTGGGTTCATCCCTCGTGAGATATGCACATCCACCTTCGGTCCCTACGGTCCCTCAGGGAGATATGCCCTCAGGTAGATATGCATATCTCCCTCTGTATAAACCCCATATCCAAAACCTCCCAGTACATAACCCTTATATATGTTATGAGGTTATGATATTTGAGGATGAGCACTGGTATTGAGATATTAACATGTGGATTTGGCAAAATATCATTGTCTTCTAAAAGTTTCTCTGATTTTTAAAATTATTCATTTACATTTAGTGCTATATTGGGATGTGTCCTTGTTAGCGGTTATACAACAGAACAACCAAACAACAACCGTGAGTAAATAATACCTACAAAAAATGTTATTATGTTTGCATAATTCTGTTGTGGGACTAGCGTGTCTGAAATGCTATTCAAATGAAGTTTCTAAAAATGTATTCTTGGTGCTAATTGTACTATAGACTACGGCCCACTCTGATAATTGTAACTCCTTCCTTACATGAAAGGTTACACATTCCAACCTATTTCAAACCATCTGTATAATGATACTAGACACTTTCTGGGTAGTTGGACTTTCTATAGGGGTGGCAGACGGCCCTCAGACCAATTTATACCCCTACCCCCAAAAAACCATGGGGGTACTTTAATACCACCCAATAAAAAGAATACTAATGCATGTCAAATATCCATTGTTTTATATTGGGTAGGGCATGTTATGATTAATAAGTGCCAGAAATTTCCAATCTCTAACTTATATGGTTACCATAGAAACAGTATTTATATCTCCAGATATTCTCAATTTGACCCCCTCCCAAATGTGTCCCTTTGTTCTCAAAGTGAAATATTTCAAAATCTGTTTGGATTTTATGGCTGCTACTTTGTCAAAAATTGTATCAATATGTTTATTTTAACATTAAAACACCGAAAAGTGTTCATAATGATCCTATAAATCAATAATATTTATCAAATATAGTCACACATAGCTGCTTTTAGGGAAAAGTGGGTGTGGCACTTTTTAGTACGTGTGTACTTGTTGCAGCATGAAATGAAAAATACATATTATACTAACAACAATTGACATTTAATTAGCATCTACTTATGTTGTGTAACATTGTAATATGTTCATTATCATTATTAGACACTTTAAATATTTTATATAAGTGTTATCCAGACCCTTCCCTTTATCCCTACACCCTTCAAGGTGGGCATTACCAATCGTGTCAAGTTAACATTTCTGTTTGGTTTATTTTTACCATAGACAAGGTACAAAAGCTTTACCATGAGTACTGACCTTATTAGGTGCTAAACTGATGAATGGATAGGTAGATGGCAGCACTTGTGCTGGTTGGACTACACGCTAGCATCTACCATAGACATATATTGATTTACCATATTTGTTATTTTGGATTAAAGTAAAACTGCTTCCGCATCAAACCTAATGAGATTCAGATTGTGTTTGAAACTAGATGATCTTCAGATTTTGTGTGAACCTTAAATTCATGACAATCAAAAGAATTCAACATTTAGGAAGTCAACATTAAGATTTTTAACATCGTCTCAATGAGAATTTAGCCCGACCTTGTTCAGAAAGTTAAAGATCATAGAAAATTGGACATAATCAAAGTTCCTCAGTAGAACATTTAATTTCCTAAAATCACATTAAAACTATATCAGCAATATTTCCAAGCTAAATAGTAAAAAAAACTTCTATCACATCATTTGCAACGTTTTCATTATTCGATAGTTCAACCCTATATGAATTATTGATGATTTTAAAAGTGCAAGGAATCTAAATGAATCAGGGAAGCCAGTGATATGTATTTGCCTTATTAATTGTTGACTTACACAATGAAATAGACTTAGATGCAAGTAGAAATAATCTTGCTTTACATCATTAAAAATTCAAAATTCAGTCAAATAAGTGATATCATATTTGAAATCTTCATGTAGAATTACATTTCTTCATGCAATAAGTCATGGGCTTTCAACTAGAGGAAGCCCATGAATAAGTTAACCTTTTAGTGAGTAGTTGTGACTAATGTAATCATGTACTTATACAATTTGTCAGTAAAAGTTATTTATCCTATACTTAGTGTTTTAGGTAAATAAAATGCATGAATATAATTGATACCTTAGGTGAGTGGGGATATACATGTACTGCATATCCCGCTTTATCCCATACTTGGTCGTGTTTCAGGTACATGAAGCAGGTTTGTAAAAACTTATATTTTCATCAGCGGGCAGATATAGCTTTATGTCCCGTTGCGAGCGGGCAGATATAGTATATCCGCCCACTCCGTCATAATCGCCCTCGGGCAGATATATTATATTTGCCTCGGGATAGTCCCAATATCCTGAACCTCATATAGGATAATCTCTATGTATCGCCAGGTTTATCACCCGCTCAGTAATCCCCTGCAGGAATTTCATTCTTTGCAATTTCTCATATTTTCGTATTTTAGTATATGATCAATAATTTTGGGTACAAGGTATAATTCTTGGGAAATACAATATTCTACCCTCAACCACTCGGGGAGGTATATTGTATTTCCCTCATATATATTGTATTTCCCTGTATTAAAAACTTCCCATTAATTAAACCTCATATATAATGCACACCATTTTGAATATGAATCAAAACTATGAATTAGTGATATCCATGTTTCTAACGAAAGCATGAATTTGAAAGAAACAAACATTCTACTCATGTGGTATAAAGATATTACTAGTTGTGTACATTTTAGATTTGATTGAAGAACTTGAATTAGAGGCAATTTTGAAATTACAATATATTAAAACAGGCTCTGTTGCTTAGATGGGAGAATCAATTAGCTGCATTGTTCAGTTTATGACAAAATTGATGTTTAGTGTTACTTTCATGAACACCCATCCTGTAAAATAGCATTTGGAATCTAGTAGTTTGTATATAGATGAATTAGATAAGGCATTGTCGAGGAAAAATATCCAACAAGATTACTAGTTTGCTCATGCAATTAGGCATACTTTAACTTGAAACAATTTGTAACACTCAATTTTTGGGGTTTGGAGATCGAAGTAATAATGATGAAAAACAAGCAATTTTAAAATATTTATGTTTTACCAAAATTTTTAAAGATTTTTGTTAACCTTTGTTTTGTCTGTTTTATTCTAAAATAAATCATGGTCATCAATTCTATTGTGACATAATCATCATTTACCAATTTTAAAATTAAATATTACTGGTTAGAGAATGTGATTTCTTACTTTAGGTTATATTTATATCCCGATTTATATGTATAATAATGATTGATGAAGACAAATAGAGATTATCCTCTATGAGGTTCAGGGTATTGGAATTATCCCGAGGCCAATATAATATATCTGGCCGAGGGTCGTAGGTCCCGAGGGAAGATATTTTCTATTGGCCAAAGGCCTTAGGTCCTGAGGGAAGATATATTATATTCGCCAAGGGATAATCCTAATAGCATGAACTGGCTATAGGATGATCTGTTTATCCCATATCAATCTTTCTTATCTGGTTCACATTGTTCAATTGGCCAGAGTTAGAAAGAATTCAACCATATGAATGTATTCATGTCTAATTTTGTTTTCTTGGCCTTAGGAGGATTCTCCTGTTTTTTAAGTATTCATCCACATATTCTCGAATCATTGATTATTAACATATGTATTAAGTATGCTACTTCCCTCATTGCTAATCATACACAAATGATGATTATGACTTAGTGGGCAGGTGTAATATATCTGCCCTCTCAGGCCGGGACATTAGCTATATCTGCCCACTGATGAAAATATAAGTATTTATAAACCTGCTATATGTATCTGAAACATGTCCAAGTATGGGACAAATGTATCTACTTTTTTTGATTTCATACACTAAACAGATTTGTCTAGGAATTATTTGAAGTATTTCAAAAACGTATACCGAACCACTATTGAAGAAATCATTGAAAATACAGTATATCAGAAACATGTGTAAATTGTTTATCTTGCAATTATTTTTGCTAAATACAAATAGAAATTATACTGTACCTTCCAGAGAATAGCTTTTTTGTTAACAATGAGCCAATAAATGAATGGATGCATTTTATTATAACTGCAAAATAATGCTCTATGCAATTCATAGGAAAAATTAATTTTGCCATATTAGAATCAAGTATAATCTTTAATCCATTGGACAGATCATACATTGCCTGATGTTGTTGAGGTATTGATAAAAGAATCAGCAAGTGTCTGACAAAATAGATTTAAGTGTTATGTATTAGGCAAAATATTAGGAAGGGTATAAATGGTCTCCAATCTTTCTAGTTTTGAGTATTACGTCTTCTTGCTTTGATTCAAATTATCCTCAGTCACTATTTGTAACCCCTCCCTCCTTCCCCATTTAGGCCATGGATATGAAGATGATTTAGAGGTTATGTGAAGGATACTAGGGAAGGGTTAGTAGCCAGAGTTATATTAGTTCATTTAAGTTTAATCATAAATGTTATGCAATTCACACTAGCATCAAATATCATACCAAAAGGATTGAACTGTTCATTACTTTTCAATTGCAGTAAACATGGTAAAATGGTTCTAAATACTGTTGAACAAGCATATTAATTAATTGTAACTCATAGCTCTAGATGACTTTAACTTATCCATTCATATTCTAGGAACAAGTCAATGAATAAGTAAGACTTGACTCTTGACAGACTTAAAAGACCGAGGACCCTATAAGACTTACACTAAAAGTTCATTTGACCATTGATGACCTATGATAGGGAAGGGTCAGGATAACACTTATATAAAATATTTAAAGTGTCTAATAATGATAATGAACATATTACAATGTTACAAAACATTAGTAGATGCTAATTAAATGTCAATTATTGTTAGTGTAATCTGCATTTTTCATTTAATGCTGCAACAAGCGCACAAGTACCAAAAAGTGCCACGCCCACTTTTCCCTGAAAGCAGCTATGTGTGACTATATTTGATAAATATAATTGATTTATAGGATCATTATATCAACTTTTAAGTGTTTTAGTGTTAATATAGACATAATATTACAAACTTTGACAAAGTAGCAGCCATAAAATCCAAACAGATTTTGAAATATTTCACTTTGTGAACAAAGGGACACATTTGGGAGGGGGTCAAATTGAGAATATCTGGAGATATAAATACTGTTTCTATGGTAACCATATAAGTTAGAGATTGGAAATTTCTGGCACTTATTAATCATAACATGCCCTACCCAATATAAAACAATGAATATCTGACATGCATTAGTATTCTTTTTATTGGATGGTATTAAAGTACCCCCATGGTTTTTTGGGGGTAGGGGTATAAATTGGTCTGAGGGCCGTCTGCCACCCCTATAGAAAGTCCAACTACCCAGAAAGTGTCCAGTATAATCATACAGATGGTTTGAAATAGGTTGGAATGTGTAACCTTTCATGTAAGGAAGGTTGCATTTCTAGAGCACTTCTACAGACTGGGTTACAGTCTACTACATGTTTGTTTTTCAAAAGCCGTTGAAGCATTTACAGCTAAAGTACATAGTTTTTATATCAGTTAAAAGTATTGTCATACATTTTATTTGTTTGTTTGTATTTACATCGGGAAAAAGAATGAGGTAATGCATGCTTCCTGGACGTATCTAAATGGTGTGTACAATCTGTGTCAGTGTCCTCACAGATCGTTATAATCATTTTTGCTTTTAACACGGTGTATAACCCAAACGCTCTTACATGCATGACGGAGCGTTTCATTACTGAAATTAAACAAAGAAACGCTCCGGAGTAGAAAAACTGGCTGGCGGGAATGAGCCGTCTGACGATTTCTCCCAATAATGGGAATAAGAGGTATATGAGTATGAGGTATGAGCCAAGATTAGAGCACCAACGTATATTTTAGTCAAATTTCAATGCTTCAACGCACCATACAATACCATACATTATCGTAATAGTGATTTGATGACCGAAAATCCAGTCTTAAAAATGATGACATTCTCATATTCAAGAAACGCTCCGATCTGGTTAACACAGTGAACTGGAAACGCTCCGGTAGTCTAGATCTGTTTAGGAAATATATAGCTTGCCTTTCCTTTTCAGGAAGAGAAAGAAAAGATCTATTATACCCCGTGGCATCAAAAGAAGAAAGAATAATTCACATATAATTTTTTTCAATAGTTTTATGATTTAGCACACGGCACGACACATTGATTCGATTCGGAACTCCTTCTCTAATAATCTGAAAATGATATCAAAACAAAATGGTAAGAGCGTTTCTAAAATTGTGTCCTAAATCGACGGAGCGTTTCGAGGAAAACAAGCGATTTCTCGAGAACAAGTAATGGATTTGGACTGGGATTTTAGGAAATGAAAATATACTAGTTTGTGATCTACTACTTTAACAGAAAGATTAACGTTTTCATAGAAATACTAGTTTAGTTCGTAATTTGTGGTCAATTCGTCATCTTCAGATTCGTTCGATCTACACTACGGAGCTTTGATCGAGCAAATAACAGTTTACCACCAGAAGTTGAATAAATAAGATCTTTGCTCACGGTATTGTTCATCGAATGGTACATAATATTTCACCATAACTTACGATATGTAAGAGAAACGAGAGAAACAATACTTACGGTCATAGTGGAATCTTCATTAGCTGCCATTTTATTTTGCTCCGGAGCATTTCCGCGTGAATGAAACGCTCCGTCGTGCATGTAAGAGCGTTTGGGTGGGACACCTTGTTTAAGCTACAAGAGGACGAGGCCAACAAGGACGACAGCCCCTTCCGCCTTGTCTGAGAGGCAATGCCTTTACACCCATGTCCGGATTGCCCCGAATGCTAAAGACCTGTGTTGGTTTAATAATAAAGAATGATGAATTTAGAAGTTACTTGGATCTGGATGTTTGCCAGTTGTAAGTGTCTACTATAATCCATACGTTTTATTGTCAATTTAATATAATTTAATCAGAAGCCAAATAGTCATTGAATCTATAAAACTTACCATACATCTTTTACATAATCGCTCGAATTAAGTCAAGTATACAAAATGGTTCCAAATCTTTTGGAAAGATATTATAACTGCTATATTTAGTGGATTCACAGGACATTATTTATTATATCAACGATCGATTTTCTTCAGCGTTAAGAACTCTGTTGGTATGGGTATGTCTTGTATAATCAAAGAGTTTAGGAAGGAAACGGGCTGCCCTGTGAAGGTCGTGGAGGAACTTATGGGGTTGTATGAGAACAACAATATGGCCATGCAGGTTGTGGAATACATGTTCTGCGATGGACCCAACCCATTTCAAGGACCACCACCGAGAAACAATGCCTCGCAATAAAGTGGAAAAGCGGCCCCATTTTACGAAGAGATGAATATCAAAAATGTTATTTGAATCATCCAATCGAAATTTAAAATGTACCACTATTTGTGAAACTATACATACAAAACTATAGATTGAAAGATATGACCTCCGAAAAAGTTCTCAAGGAAAACACTTATCGTACCTCGCAAGATGAGTTAAAATGCTTCTCTCAAAGCAGTAATAAATAAATAACCACAGTATGTATGCAGTTGATCTGGGACAAATCTATTGTTCTATTGTTTTTAAAGAATAGACACTTGGCAAACTATCGAAAACTTTTGAAGACGTTTAGGAGTTGAATAATTTTTTCATGCAATAAATTTCAGAAAAAGCAGATCCCCTTTTGAGTAAATAGGTTCAACATTTTGAAAAAATGTTGACATGGGGTCCCTAACTCCCTATTCATCATTTTTCGAATTGTTTTATTGATATTTTTATTATCCTTGAGCATTTACTTGAAAGATAACATATTGTATTTTTGAGAAAGTACTCATGGTGAAAGATATGACCGACTAAAATCACTTGCCATACTACACCTGGTCCCTTTATATGCTGATCCTTAAAGAAAAAGGAGCTCTGCTCAAGATGAAATTGCCAAGATGGCTGCAATTTATCAAAATACCCACCAGTTGTAGTTAAAAATGTAATCATTGATAACTCAGATATCACTGGATGGATTTGGAGCTCTGCTCATGCAAAAAGAAATTTGCTAGACGACACCTGAATTTCAAAATGGTCTCCATTTTCGTAAAAAACAAAATCGTTAATAAGTCAAATACCAGTGGACGGATTTTCTATCAAATTTTATATGCTGGTGATACCTAGTACCTAGTATAGGGACAAAGAAATTCTGTTCAAGAAGAAATATATAAAATACATTTAAATATGGAATTGTCAAAATGTTAAACCTCCCCATCATTCATGGGTATACCATGATCCATCTCTATTGTAATAGGTCCATGGATATATTGCCCTTGTCACTTAGATCACTGCTTGACAATCCTGGTTAAGGTTAACATACACATGGTTGAAAGGCTAACAGAAGTAACTCAATTCGTATCTTTTAAGTGATATTGTATAAAATATTTTGCAGTGTGTGAAAAGAATTTAGGCCCAATCACTGCCGATACTCAATGCATTGTGACTGATTCATTCCACTCGATCGTTGTTTCCTCAACTTAGCACATGTTGCTACGCATCTTGTGCAAAGTTTGAAGGAACACTTCTAAAGAATCAATGATAATCAGTCCATATGCACTGACTTAAATACTTAAACAATGAATGGACCACAGTGGCCTCTGTGTGCGAGAAGCCTGTTACCCATGGTCATTTTTACAAAATAACGTTTTTGACATTAAAAAGTTATATTTTCTTTGATGATATCGGAAATATGCTGAGAACAGTAATTATACTGTCACAGTATCCTGATAATAAAAATGAGAAGTTGATAAATCTGTGTCCAATATTTAGATTGGTTTATAGAAGGTTTTTTGATTTCGTGATGACTTGAGCAGTAAGTAATCAATGGTTTTCTAGCATTCGCATCAGCAATTTTTCAAATTGCACAAAAGAAATTTTTTAAAAGTCACCAATCTCCAAAGCTGCTGTCTGTCTGCTGCTGTCCATATATCTTTCATATCTTTTAGTTGAATGTTTTTTTTAGCATAGAATGGGAGAAGGGGGGGGGGTTCACACAATTAATTTTTAACTCAGAATGAATCGGCACATTTAATTCGTCGGAAGCCTATTATGATCAATCAAGGGAAAGATCAATACCCGGTGATTTCAGCGGGAAGTGGCGTTTCGTTCATTGGATGAGCTGCGCGCGCACGCATAAATGTGATTATCCAATATATCACTAGCAGAATTTAACATGATGCAAACTCGACATTATAACTCATGCTGTAACATTTTGACTTCGCTGGAAAACAATAGGAATTATTTTTCTTGCCAATCAATCATGAATCACAATCAAAATTTCAGAATGATCAATCAGGCAATGGTCCAAATCAAGTTATAACATTATATGATATTCAGCAAGAAGTCCGGTAGAAATACAGAATATTTAAACATCAAAGCTGAAAGTTAAAAGCTAATCTGTCAATTTTCTGTCTGCAAAAGAGCGTCCCAAGAGCGTTTACATTTGACACAATAACAGACTGAGGCTTTGAAATCTAGGATTCCCCAGGAAAATATGACGTCATACTAATTAGCATAAGGATTTCCCTATTGGTGTGGGTCGAGCCTTGTTCGAAAACACAATCCATAAATGCATGCTAATTTCTAAGGAGATAGGAAGTGTATAACGTGTTTATCGATTTTGTTTAAAGATTTAATCAATTATCAAATTGTTTAAGTGGATAAAGTGGTCACACTTGCTTCAATTCATAGCGAAATCGACGGATAGAAACTGACCGAATTCCCGATATCCTACCCCGTATTATTATTATTATTATGAGCTTTATTATACTTGTATCCCACATTTGGGCAAAGTGTACAGCTTAAAAAGAAAAAAAAATGAAAAAGCCTAACTAATTATCTATATATTATATTAACTAATCAAAGGGTGCTTGATCATTGCAAGATTTTATTGGATGCATTTCGTGTTTTTTTTTCTCTCTCGATAAAGATATTAGATATATATTTTGCTAGTATATTTAATATTATTCCCTCTGAATTAAATAGAAACATTAATTTATGTTCCACGTTATTCATGTTTTCTAAATTTTGACAGTGTTTTTTTATTTTATCCATGTAACTTGACCGAGCATCTTTTAACTCATTGCATTCTAATAGGAAATGGCATTCTGAACCGGTTTTCTTGTTACACATTGAACATTTTCTTTCTTCAATAGGGGTAATTGGTTTTGTGTAACGACCTGTTTCGATTTCTAATTTATGTGCGCTAATTCTTAGCTTTGTCAAGTTATTTCTGTCTATTCCATTTTTGATTAAATCCAAGTAGGGTTCCTTGTTCCATTTTGCTTTTATTATCTTATAAAACCTCAATTTACCATTATTTGAATTTATTTTAGTTTCCCAAAATTGTATGTATCTATTTTCCAGTAATTTCTTAATTTCTCTTGGTTTTAAGTTTAAATAGTTTGGTGAAGTACCATTGTAAATATATTTAAGTACATCATTGATGTGCGTGAGCCATGATTGTTTATTCATATCTGTCAGTTGTTTATTTACCTCAAGGGCTTCACGTAGAAGCGAGTCGGTTCCTTTATTATTAATATGATTAAGATATTTCATTTGTTGATAAAACAAAGAAATAAATAGTGGAAACCTACCTAAATCGCCTCGTGTAGCGTCATTACTGGCCTTTCTGTTAACACCGAGTATCGATTTCATAAATGATATATGAAGAGATTCAAATGTTATTCCATCATATCCCTTTTCTAATGCCCATTGTGGGTCTTTTTTAATTTTACTCGAGTTTAAGATACCCGTACCCCATATATCAGATCCATAGAGGCATATGGGCTTTATGAGTTGATCAAATAGTTTTAGGCATAATGATGGTTTCATATTACCATTAGAAATTAAACTTAATAATTTAAATTTTGCCTTTTCAGCTTTGTCTTTGACATGCTGGGCTGCAGGTCTCATTGACCCACTTATGCTTAATTCCATCCCCAGGTAAATGTATCGTGAAACAGATTCTATTTTGTAATTTCCTATAAAGAAGTGATTATCAATAATTCTACCATTTTTATTCATTACCATAATTTTGGTTTTATCAGTGTTGATATTTAAGTGCCATTCTTCGCAGTATTTTTCTAATTTGTCCAATTTGGTTTGCATTTCATCTTTTGAGGATGCGATAATTACTAAGTCATCAGCAAAAAGGAGGCTTCCAATTCGCTTCTTATTTAATAGAGGGTCTGTTTTGAGATCTAATGTTTTAATAATGTCATTAATATATATATTAAATAGGAGAGGACTTAGGGGGTCCCCCTGTTTTATTCCCTTGTTACAGTCAAATTCATTGGTAAATAAACCCTCATTATCTAGTCTGACTCTTGCTTTTGATTGTGAATATATATTTTTTATCATTTTATAGAATAAACCGTTTACCCCCGATTGCAAAAGTTTCAAAAATAATCCATCATGCCATACCGTATCGAAAGCTTTCCTCAAGTCAACAAAACACATATATATATTCCCTTTTTCACTTAGTACATATTTATCCACGAGGGTTCGTATTATGAACATGTGGTCAGTTGTTCGTGCTTTCTTAGTGAAACCGGCTTGATTTTCCGATATTATTTTTCGGTCATGTACAAAGGCGTAAAGTCTATTATACAAAATTATTGAAAATAATTTGCCAAAGCAATCAGAAATAAAAATACCTCTGTAATTTCCAGGGTCTTTCGTCGTTCCTTTCTTAAATAACGTAACGATTGATGAAATATTCCATTTCTCAGGGAAAACCGTTTTGCTTAGTAATATGTTAAATATTTTACAGATTACATTATTTAAAACTGAGTATGACGCTTTAATCATTTCATAGCTAATGCCGTTAAAACCCGAACTCTTGTTGTTCTTTAATTGCTTAACTGCCTTGTAAACCTCGTTTTCTGTTATTCTGAAGCTAAGTTCGTCAAAATGATTGTCATTTTCTATTGATGTAACAATTTCGTTGACTTTTTTGTTGATTTCGGTATTTTTATCCTTTTCAAATAATTTGGAAAAATGTTCATGCCATTTCTCTGGTGTTATATACGCGGACTTATTGTTTTCGTCTTTGTGCCTTAGTTGCTCAAGTAGGGACCAATATTCTTTAGGGTCATTGTCATAAAGTTCTTCTAATTTATTTATCATATTAGTTTTAAATTTCCTTTGTTTTATCTTACAGCATTTCCTGTATTCCTTTAGTAACTTGAAGTAATTACCTCTAATCATATTATCATTTGGTGACTTTATTAGTTTTGCTCCAATTGACTTAACCTTTCTTTTCAGTATACTGCAATCATTGTCAAACCATTTTTGAGATATCGAGCCCCCTTTCTTTTTACAGGGTAACTTTTTTCGTAGTGTTCTTTTTGCTGTGTTAATTATAATTTTTTCGAGCTTGTCAATACAATCATCAATATTATAGGTGTCGTTTAGCTCGTAATTGAGTTCATTTATATCATTCCGTGTTTTTAAATTATTGGAGAGGTCCGTTTTAAATTGTACCTCGCGACGGGTGTCCCATTTATATTTGATTGGTTTCATTTTGATAGTATGCCCATTGTTTTTAGTCCGATTGTTACCGTGGTCGTTTGGTATTCGTACTTGCATTAATAGAGAAATCTTGCAATGATCAGAGAGCACACAAAGGTTATCATGAACCCTGAAGTACATAATATCTGGAAGCATATTTTCATGAATAATACAATAGTCAACTACACTGCTTCCGTTCCATTTATGGCAGGTGAATCTACCGGGCGAGTCCCCAAGTACTCTGCCATTTATAATTCGTAAATTAGATGACCTGCATAGGTCTAGTAGCTTCTTACCCGAAGCATCAACAACTGAATCCATGCTGGAACGTTCATTGATGGTGACATCGTTGGGACAAAGTAAAATGTTTGGGATATGATCATCATAACCGTGATTATTTTCAAAATCGCGTATTTCACCTGTTCTTGAATTAAGATCTCCCATAATCATAACATCACCTATATTAGAATATTTATTTATTTCTTTTGTCAAAATCTCGTATGGGTCATCCCCTGAATTGAATTTACCTTTTGGGTTATAGTTTGCGGGTGAAAAATACGTTATACATAAGTAAATGTCATTACTTGTATTAAAGAACTTTTTTGAAAGTTTAACCCACAGGATATCTGGTGTCTTCGTTTTGATTATTGTCGTTCCCGCTATATATGTATTTCTTATATTACTGTAGGCTATAAGCACAGTGACCTACAGAGGGCGCTATCACAAACAAGTACTGGACGAACCGATAAATTCCCGGGTATTGTAACGCCCTTGATCCAATACGAAGTTATTACAAAACGTGCGAACTTCCTACATTATGATTGTCATTCCATTATGACTTATTACATATTTTAACGAAGGCTTCTGATAATTAGGCTATCCTGCAAAATGTTTTCATCAGAATATTGAAAATATAGTGATTGGTAATGATGTATTACTTTGTAAAATAGCTAAATAGACAGATTCAATGATAAATAAAATAAACGATTCGGATATACTGTCAAAAATTTCTACAGTAAATAGCTTTATCAATGTTAAAATTGTTCTATAATTTACATTTTAAAATTGTGTCTATTTAATGACAAACTAATGCCAAAATTGAACCAGACGACAGACCAATATTTCTCATTTACTTAGAAAAAGGAAATAAAGCAATTAAATATGATTTTATGAATTGGCAATTTGTTACATTTGTAAAATGCTAATTTTCCTTGATTTCCCTATCGTCAATATAAATATCAACCTCAAAACAACTCAAATCATAAAAACTTGGATCGAACTAGACGATTCAAAGAATGCAAATATGAAGTTGATTCTGATACTCAGGTAAGAGGAGTGACAGTTTTGACATTTTACTTTGATACTTTTTTTTATTTATTTATTTATTTGCACACACTTTTACAACAGTGGCAAATGGGTCCTTAGGTCCCAGTGCGGCATATTACATATCAAGATTACATAGTATAACATTCAAATTATAAAACAATAAATTTTAAAAGCATCAATCATACATCTTATTTTGATTTCATTATATATCTTTACTAAAAAACGCTTTGCGCATTGATCAAATAAAATACCTTGTTCTTTGCCCCATGAGTCACTCACCCTATCTCCCAAACCCAATTCGTTTTGCGTTCAGGGCTTGAGAATGAGAATTTAGATGAAATTTCCTTTAAGAAAATTATTCTATAGTCTAATGTTGAAGGGCATATAAATTTTAAAACATATGAACCTATATGTTATGAGGTTATGATTATTTGAGGATGAGCAATGGTATTGAGATATTAACATGTGGATTTGGCAAAATATTATCTAGTCTTCTAAAAGTTTCTCTGATTTTTTAATTATTCATTTACATTTAGTGCTATGTTGGGATGTGTCCTTGTTAGTGGTTATACAACAGAACAACCGAATAACAACTGTGAGTATCAATACCTATAAAAATGTTATTTTCTGTATCATATAATGTTTGCATAATTCTGTTATGGGCCTGGGGTGTCTGAAATGCTATTTAAATGAAGTTTCTAAAAATGCACTCTTGGTGCTAATCGCACTACATGTTTGTTTTCCAAAAGCATTACGCTGAAGCATTTACAGCTAAAGTACATAGTTTTTATATCAGTTATAAGTATTGTCATACATTTTATATATACTTAGATCGGGAAAAAGAATGAGGTAATGCAGGCTTCCTGGACGTATATAAACGATGTACAATCAGTGTCAATGTCCTAACAGATCGTTATAATCATTTTTACTTTTAAGCTCCAAGAGAACAAGGACAAGGGCGGCGACCCCTTCCGGCTTGTCTGAGAGGCAATTCCTTTACAGCCATGACCGGATTGCCCCGAATGCTAAAGACCTGTGTTGGTTTAATAATAAAGAATGATGAATTTAGAAGTTATTTGGACCTGGATGTTTGCCAGTTGTAAGTGCCTGTTATAATTTAATCGTTTTATTATTATTGTCTAGTTACAATATAATTTAATTAGAAGACAAATAGAAGACAAGAGTCATTGAATCTATAAATTAACTTACTATCCATCTTTTACATAATCGCTCAAATTAAGACATAATGAAAATCCACTTGGTACTAGTGGATTCACAGCACATCATTTATTCTATTATGACTTTCTTCAGCGCTAAGAACTCTGTTGGTATGGGTATGTCTTGTATGATCAACGAGTTTAGGAAGGAAACAGGCTGCCCTGTGGGGGTCGTGGAGGGCATTTTGGGGTTGTTCGAGGACAACAATATGCCCATGCAGGTTGTGGAATACATGTTCTGCGATGGACCCAACCCATTTCAAGGACCACCACCAACAAACAACGCCTCTCAATAGGATGGTAAAGCGGCGCCATTTTACGAAGAGATGAATATTAAATGTTATTTGAATCATCCAATCGAAATGAAATATAGTTTAAAATGCACCACTATTTGTGAAAATATACATACAAAACTATAGATTGAAAGATATGACCTCTGAAAAAGTTCCGAAAAGGTTCTCCAAGGAAACGCTTATCGTACCTCGCAAGATGGGTTAAAATGCTCTCTCAAAGTAGTAATACATAAATAACCAGTCTGTATGCAGTTGATTTGGGACACTTGGCAAGCTTTCGAAAACTTTTGAAGACGTGTAGGACCCCTTGTTGAATAATTTTTTCATGCAATAAAAATCGGAAAAAGAAGATCCCCTTTTGAGTAAATAGGTTCAACATTTTGAAAAAAATGTTGACATAGAGTCCCTGACTCCCTATTCATAATTTTTCGAATTGCTTTATTGATATTTTTATTATCCTTGAGCATTTACTTAAAAGATAACATATTGTGTTAATGAGAAAGTAGTCATGGTGAAAGATATGACCGTCTAAAATCACTTGCCATACTACACCTGGTCCTTTTATATGCTGATCCATAGAGAAAAGGGAGCTCTGCTCAAGAGGAAATTTCCAAGATGGCCACCATTTATCAAAATACCCACCAGTTGTAGTTAAAAATGTAATCATTGATAACTCAAATATCAGTGGATGGATTTGGAGCTCTGCTCATGCAAGAAGAAATTTTCAAGACGACAGCTGAATTTCAAAATGGTCTCCATTTTCGTTAAAAACAAAATCTTTAATAACTCAAATACCGGACGGATTTTTCTATCAAATTTTATATGCTGATGATACTAAGTACCTAGTATAGGGACAAAGAAGCTCTGTTCAAGAAGAAATATATAAAATTCATTTAAATATGGAATTTTCAAAATGTTAAGCCTCCCCATCATTCATGGGTATACCATGATCCATCTCTATTGTAATATGCCCAGGGATATATTGCCCTTGTCACTTAGATCACTGCTTGACAATCCTGGTTAAGGTTACCATACACATGGTTACAGGGCTAATAGCAAGTATTCTCATCCTAAATATTCCCAAAAATTAATTAGTTTATTCCATTTGGGACTTGTCATACTGCTAATAAGTGCGGATTTTTTCAAGCTTTAATGTATTCTCAGAAAGTGAATTTTGAGTGAGATGTAGGATTATGAGGATGAGAATTACAATCGTTAGCCCTTACAAGATAAAAACAAAATAAAACTATAAATAATATAATGCAAGTCCACATAAATATACTTTATTGAGGTAATTATGCTTATTCCATGATATTTTAAATGCTTCAGTTAAGATTAAAGTATGTGTTCCAATCACAATTTTGAGCACTACTTTTAAATTAGACTTTAAATGTGGATGTTGGTTTGCATACTCTTCTCGAATGTATACTGAATTCAGAATTTTTACAAAATAATAATAATTCATTACTTATTTAAAATCATTTGAACTGACTGACTAATACATATACATTTATTTTTTACTTTTACTGCAATCAGACACAAAGCCCTAAGAAAACATGGCTAATTGGCCCATGTTAGCAACATAAGCCAATTATGGTAAACATTGTACTCCAGGGAGCCAAACAATGTGCTCTAGGGAGCCTAGAAAGTGCTCCATGGAGCCTACGATGTGCTCCATAGAGCCTTCCATGTGCACCAGGGATCATGCTTTGACATATCATCACCTGGATCAGTCTAACTGGTTGCAATAATCGATTAAGTCCAGTGAAAATGTATTCATAGAGACAAGCAATATCAAAATATGACCTTCATTGCCAAAGTGGCAGCAAGGGACATAAAGTGTAAAATGTTGGAAGCAATCCGATTTTTGTAGAATGTTACATTTAACTTGATTCCACTTAAAGGCCTTGTGTAAAGTTTAAATTGTTTTAGTCCATACTGGAGTTTTGATCAAACTTTGCATGGGGCCTTTAACACTTACACATATGAATCATATGAGCGATAGGAAATTATATGGGGGTTTTAACCATGCGAGGGCTATAATCGTAATTTAATTTCAGCCATGAATTTGATCTGGAATGAATGTTTAATTTAATCTACAATCCACTGCATTGATTAATTTTACAATAACACTTGATTTCATCAAGATTATTACAATAGTAATAGAGCTTTGCAACTACCCTGCCATCTTTTACAACAAGAAAGATGTTATTCGTACATGTAAGTATCTTGACAAACAAAATTCAAGATCATCAAAAAGTAAACAGTCATTTCCATTTGGGACATTTCTTCTTATTCAGTCTATAAAGTCAGGAACCTACGACCTACAACATCATCATTAATCAAACAAATACAATGTATGACCAAGTTTCTAAGTATATCAATATTTCAAGTTGATCTGTTACACAGTTTTTGATATGATCGATTGAAAATTCTTGAATAAAACACAATCCCAAATCAACTTGTGAGAACTTTTTAAAAACTATTCAACAGACCAAAAAATCTCTATAAAAGTCAAAACTGCAAAAAATCGTTCAGTTGATGTTGGCTAATTCAGATATTTGGTACAAAGATATATAAAAAGTATATAAACTCAGCCAGTATAGAATTACAATATGATATCTTTACATGTACAATTCATATGACACACTGAAAAGGAGTAATCATATGAATAAAATGTATTTACAACAAGTAGAAGAGACATCAAAATGATCATTATCGGGTTGGCAAGCCATAAAACGCTTCTGGCATTAATACATTAAGTCATGCATGTCATGAGTGTAGCTAACTATGAGCCTGGTGAGGCAATTGCCTAACTTTGAGCCTGGTGATGCAATTGCCTAACTATGAGCCCCGGTTAGGCAATTGCGCATGCCTCACCAACATTTCATAGAAAAAACATCTCAAGATGGTAAAATAAAAAAAAGATTACAAAACAACATTTCTTTTACAATTGAAACTGTGAAAAAATTTTCCCTCTAGTAGTATAATATCCTTTTTGCTTCGCCTATATAAGTTTTGCATTATCAATTCAAGTTTTGCCTCACCTATTTAAGATTTACCTCATCTACTAAAGTTTGCATTGCCTATTTTAGGGTCATTGCTATGCCCTTAATAATGTGGTAAGCCCATTTTATGCCTGCCTGTCATGATGTCAGCATATCTGTTTCCATACTGGCTATAAGCAAAGTATGATCATAGTATGGAAACAATGAATGATGACATGCATACTATACAAGGCAAGATATCTATGACATACACAACCAAACCATACAATCACTAACTTAATCAAACTTCCTCACATTATACGAGCACTTTGAATCAAGCTATAAAAAATTAATGAATGCTTGCTAGTCATGTGTATGGTTACTGGTTAGCTACCACTGTCAAATAAATATCTAGGAGATTCCATACATAATTTTCTAAGTATAGTGCATATACTGTATAGACATTGGATATAGGAAATATCCTGTGGGAAATATACTATACATGTATCTACTCAAGAAAGAGTCTGTTTATATGTTTAAACTGTACTATGATAATGTGAATGCACAACTAACTACACTATGGCGTTTCTATTTCCTAATACTGCTATTTTGCATTCATGATCACATGAATATAGCAGAAAAGTAGAACAAAATGATATAAAACCAGGAAACTGATCATGTACTGATCAGGTGTGCAAACTGCAACTAGTGACTCTTATTGTTTACAATTTGTTTCTATGCAGCCAATTAATTGTAATATCTATAGATTCTGACCAAAGTTGCTTAAAATATTACAAGTTTATGAGGATTTTATTTTTCAATTAGCTGCAAATGGGTTTTCAATTGGGTGTAAATACCAATTGACTGCAAATGGGTTTTAAGTTGAGTCCAAATGGGTTTTCAATTGGGAGTTAATATCCATTGGCTGCAAATGGGTTTTCAGTTGAGTGGAAATGGGTTTTCAAGTGGGTGTGAATTTGGATTTGCAAATGGGTTTTCAAGTGGGTATATATATCAATTGGGTGTAAATGGGTTTTCCATTGGGTGTAAATTCCAATTGGCCACACATGGGTTTTCAATTGGGTGTAAATTTCAAGTGTGTGCAAATGGGGTTTTCAGTTGGGTGTACATTTCAAATGGACAAATAGGTTTTCAATTGGGTGTAAATTTCAATTGAGCGCAAATGGGTTTTAAGCTGAGTGCAAGTCTTCAGCGGATGTTAGGTGCAGTCCTAAGTTTCTTCAATTCTAGGGAGACCCCTTTCTATCACAGTTATAGAACACATTCTTTGACATACCCCCTCAGTTCATTGTCCTCAATCATTGCAGTATATTACACATACACAAATACTATGATATACAATGGAACCTATAACCAGTTGTGGCATTGATATCATAAAACTCATAAAACAAAAATTGATTCCATTAAATATATTAGGGATTGAATGCAAAATGAATTGTGCACAAAGCCCCCTGGGTATACATCCTCCCTTTTATCTCCAGTATACATCTGTGTTGCATTCATTAATTTTTCTACATTTCTATTTCTGGTTTCTTATCTCTATTCCAAGGCTATGGTTCATCACAGGTTTAATCTCAGCATGTTAGTTTCCAAGAGACCATTTCCCCAGATGTCATTAGGGCATATATTACAATACATACTAGTATATTATTTCACTGCATGTTATTTCATTGTTTTTCCACACTTTTTGATTCATCTGAACATTCTATTGTACTACTGTTCACCAAATGTCAGTTCAAACATTGCTTGTTGCTTCAACATTTGCTTTCTCATCTCTAACTCTGCTTGTCTGATTCCTTTCAGTGCTCGTTTGGCTGCGGAGGCCTTCGCTATACGATAACTGCGTCCCACCCCAGTGAACTTGCCCTTTCCTACCACATTAACTGTCACTCGAATCTTACCCTCAATAGTTCGATCAGGCTTCCTGTAACAAATAAATCTGAGGATAAAATCACTAGGATACAGTGCGTTGTTATGGTTACTGATACATTAATAGGATGGCTGCTGGTAAAGTGGATAAGTAAGGGAAATATCTGGAAAACAAAATAATTCTTGTCTTTTTTCAGGAAAATTTTGATCTTACAATTTTTCTCAACTTTAGAAAAGTACTTTAGAAAACCAATCAGGAGTTCTGTTATTGAAGATTGCTTACTCAAACTTGGTTGTTTCAGGTTCCAACTCAAGCAGCTCTCTTACTGGTGACTTTGGTATTTTCTCTGTATACTGATCTACAAATACAAAAGATCAGTCTTAAATAAATTATGACACGTTCTTGAGTTTCACAAAGACATTTACATCTTAGTACAATTGATTTAAGAAATTAACCTTGCAAAATTAGCATAATTTCTTGAGCTCATGTGGTGAGTCTGTATATTGTGAAAAGGTCGGAGTCAATGATGTAGATTACCACTATGGAGCCCATAAAATGGATATGAGCTTTAGTTATGACAATAGACATTTTTTGTTTGTTGGAAAATTGTTGATGAATGGACAGATTGATGGACACAGATAATAAGTGGGTGATTCCTCAGGCTCCCATGTGGGCCAAAAACCATTATTATTCCAATACAGACAGATGGACAGATCAATGGACAGTTAGATGAGTGGACTATTTGAGGCAAAAAATCATTAATATTCCCGTACCTATGTGTGGCTTCATGATCCTGTAGTAAACACTCCACACCTTGTCTAGAGACATGCCACTATCAAGGAATATGGCACCAGCTACAGATTCAAATATATCACCTAGAGCTTTGGGAATTTCAAGGTCCTCAGAGTTTTCTTCCTCCTCTGTATCATCATTCTCGTTGAAATACTACAAAATAAAATGTCTCATTTATCGTACAAGGCATTAACATGCAAAATATCACTACACAGTCAATATGGTACAACGAAAATGGGACTTCTGCGCATGTTAAAATTTTTCGTCAAAACTCAACTTTTGTTCAAGTTGATACGATTGTCTTTCGAACTAGAGACTTACCTCATTCGAAAGATCATAAAAGACTTTATCTATGCTGAAAATCTTAGATCCAAACATAGTAGAATACGCCGTCAGTCCGCATTTGATTTTTTGAAGTGAGTTTCGTAGATCGTCAGATTTCTCCGACTGATATCGGGTTATCTCAAATTGGTTCGTTTATAAATACAAATTTCTTTACCGTTGTAAGGCGCATGCGCAAAATTGATTTATAAACGTGATTGGTTGATGGTTTTTCTCCTGAGCATGCGTGAAGTCTGATGAACACTTATGACGAAGACCGGAGCAAACATTACTAGCTCTCAAACGAAATTCCAAGATTCAGATCATTTCGCCGTGTTTGCTAAGCGTGTATACGTGAATGACAAGCTGTTTTGAGTAGATCAGGTACCTGTTTTAGACACAACATTGATTTAGCTTGACATTGATGTTCACATTGGCACTTTTGAGCATGTTAATACAAGTTTTTACACGCTTAGCACGAGACGTGTTTTCGAAAAATCTGTTATCTGATTCACTCGATTATCGTATGGATATGTATTTCTACTGACATTTCAACACCACATCACATAGAATTACGATGCAGAATGATAATAAAACACAAAACAACTACTAAATTCCAATTGTTATTTCACAGGAGGTAAAATTGCACACTGCCTAGATTCTTTGTAAGGGTCGTCAGACATCGGATTGGCCGCCATATTTAAAATGTAAATATCACTAAATAGAGGTCTGCGCATGTGTCAACATTTCGACTGTACATGCCATTTGTTACATTCCAAATGCCAACCACCACCTGCCAAACATTGTCAACAAAAAAGTTGAAGACTATAACAATTTGTCACCACTCATTTGCGTATATTGGGCTTTATATGTTTAATGGGATAATTTCATCCAACATTGTGTTAAAATTGACCAATATACTTCAAATATAAAACCAAATGAAATTAAATCCAGTCAATTTCACTCTGAAGAAAAAATCATGTCTTACCTCATCAAAACATATCTCATCATTCTTCTCTTTCTGGGACTCAACAAATCTATTGATGACATTGAACAGCTCTGGAGAGACAGCCTTGAAGTATTTGTAATAGTCCCACTTGACAGCCAATGCCGCAAATATGTTGTTGTTTACAAGAGCAGAGCGTAGATCTGTCAGAATTCCAGGATTGTGTTTTCTAGGGTCTTCATATAGATGGCGAGTGATGACGTAATCTAAAACTGCATCGCCGAGGAACTCTAGTCTTTAAGAGAAAGCACAAAGGAAATAATCAGAAAATTTAGGTCATTGATTATTGCAATATCACTTTAATCCAATCCAATCTGATTGGCCCACTAGACATAAATATATGTCCATTTTTATACCATGGGATATAGAACTTTCCCCCTTAACATCTTAAACATCATTTCCTTTTAAAAAATGTACCTCATATAATACAGACTTCTCGGGTACAATATTTTCTGTATTTGACTCAAATCGTGAGTATTGCTAAGTGTAGACACCCATGTATGCCAACTTTCCATTATAATCTATATTATTTACAAAATACAGATCCATACCTTTGATAGCAATCAGTAATCCTGTTATAATGGTAAGAGGCATGTGTAAATGCCTGTAGGAGGTAGGACTTGTCTTTGAATGTATAGCCAATCTTCTCTTCAAAGCCCTGGCAGCTCCTGAACTGGTGCTGTAGAATGCTCTCATGGTCCTGTACATGGAGGAGGACAGGAGAAGCTGGTTGGGCAAGCTTGCCATATCTCTCACGGATGGTTCTGGGCTTAGAAGCTGAAATATGTCAGTGGTAATCAGGAAATGGTGTACAATTTTCAGTTGTCAATTGAAAAAGAAGTTAATTTCTTTAAATTAAGGAAATAAACAATCTTTATTTTATGAAGTGATATTCAAGTTAATGGTGAATCAGCATTTAGACACCTTACTTAGTTTTACAATTCACATCATAAAAAACAATACAAAAATGTCAATATCAAACCAATATCTTACCTATTCTAGGTATTATAAAAAAGTAATGTACATGTACCTTGCGCAGTATCTGTAGCTTTGGCAGGTTGCACCTCGGGTAGAACATAAAGTCCCAACCAGGACATGAACAATAGTGCAGCATGCTGGCCCATCGTCGTCAAATAACAGCCAATCAGGGCCTCTGTACAATCGGCTATACTTTTATCAGGTAGACTATGCTGTGTCTGCAGGTTATATGGTATAAGGCACTTTTTGGTATGGGGCGTGATATCTTGCTCCAAAACACGTTCGGATTTATCCTCAGAGGTAGCAAAAGTGAGCGCTGCCAGCTCTCGGTCGTAGCGCAATTGTTGCGCTGTGTTATCACTATCAGATCTATCTGCTGTTAGGCTATCAATTGTGTTCACTTTGGGAGTGAATTCACTTAGTAGGTTACTAGGGAAATCACTGGGTTCAGGCTTGAGATCATTATCTTCGTGGAACAGAAGCCGAGTGTCAGTTTTAACGTAATAGCCAGGTGGCAACCAATTCTCAGAGGGTTCGAATTTTGATGCGACCATTATTTCCGGGAATAGGGTCCTTTTCCCTAAGCGATACAGGTTGAAGTTGCTGACTTGTTTGCTTCGCAGGTAGCTGAGTTTACCTTCATGAATGCCTGGGTAAGTACAGTAAAGGTACACAGTGATAGCAAACTTCAGGAAAGAATCACCAATTGTCTCCAGTCTTTCAAGGTTGAAGAAATCATTGGCATTTGACATTGTAAGAGTTTGTAATATGGTGCATGGATTTGGTCCAATGAAATTATCGAGATCAACTTCGAAATCAAACCGAGTGCTTGGGAGGATCTTCATTGGTGGTTCACTTGGTTTCTGCATTGCATCTCTTGCTTTAGTCTTAGTAGACTTCTCGTAATCTGCACCGTTAGTATGTATATTATCAACTGAGATTGCCGGCATCCCATTCTCTCTAATTATCATATCACAGTTAGCTTTTTCTTCTGATCGTTCAACACCATCATTTGAGGTAGCATTAGGTGTAACAAACTTATCACATTGCATATTTTGGTCAACATTATCTAGCTCATCTTCATGTAAATCTTCACTGTTATTAACAACATGTTTAATATTAGGCACATCATTTTGTCCAGTTATTTTAAAGTCCTCTGGCTTAGACATTTTCTCATCTCGTTTCTGTTTATCTTCAACAGTGTTTTCAATGGAATGTTCTGGTGGCTCTATTGTAGAGGTAGAATCTTTGTTGTTGTAGCATTGTTCAGGAACTGCATCAAGTTTCCCATTTACTACATTACCAGTAGCACTACTGTCAACATCTTTCTTGCTGCTTTCTTCCCTACTCACTTTCTCATTAACATCAGTACCCACTCCTCCATTCACAGCCTTGTCATTAGTAGTCTTGCCCTCATCGATTCTGCTTTTATCATTGTTTCCAGTAGACAGACTTATTGGTTCACTTGATTCATTTTCCTTATGTTCTGTGGTTTCGCTGAAGCCAAAGTCTAATGGAGTGAAGTTGTGGGAATCGGGGACATGTGCTACTCCCATTCCTACCTCAGTAGCAATCAAATAGCGAAGTTCTTCAGCAATCAGGAGGTAGTTGAGACGATATAATATTGCTGGAAGGCACACAACTTTCCTCCACATGGATGCAGGAACGGGGTGAATATCACACAACTCTGGCACCAGAATCTGTTTCTGCTGGAGATTCTCACGCTTTGCACGACGTGTCTCTGCGCTACTGGTTGGCAAGGCAACACCTTTCTGGTTAATATAGCGTGGTGTGAGGAGATTTAATCGAGCAGACGTGTGATCCACGTCAAGTAATGGCTGATCGAAACTGGTTATTGTCAGGTGGTACTTGTTGCAATAGTAATGGGCAAACGTATCATAGAGATCAGGGGAAGGGAATGGACTTGCAGGAGTGAGATCATGTCGGATTTCCGCCACGTAAAAATATTGTGGTTGGTCAAAGTTGCGATAGGCTGGCATGACAACAGCATCGTTGAAGTCTTCTTTATTGAAGACAAATGTCTCTCTGTCTTTGTCGTAGATGTTGACTCGACGGGGACTTGCTTGGTTTGCCTCGATTCTGCTGACAAAATTCCAGTCAATATCCACTTTAGACGCAACTACAATCAATGCAGTTAAAACATGAACATTGAAAATTTAGGTTCATATTTGCAAAATGAGGTCAAAGTTTGCTAAAATCCGTCAAATTCCCATTGATATCAATGGTCAAGATTGATGAAAATAACACTCGGAAATAAAGTGGAATTAATTAAACATATATTCTACAGTTCTAGTATTGAACCATATCCATCACATCCCTTCATCAAACCTACCTGTTGTAAGTGGTACAACTAGGAAGCCACATTTAGCTTCAGAGGGTCCAAACACCATGGGCTGTTTCTCCAACCTCAGAACACTCTTGAAGAAGTAGCGATGTATGTTCTCTAGCCGTGTGAATTCAGAGTCAGTCAGCGTGAATTGTGATGTATAGAGATCTATCACCACAGAGACTTCACCTGATCTTGTGAACACTGGGATCTGCGGGATCTAGAAAATGTGAATATATTATGACGATATTCAGCAAGCATCTTATCGTTCTATTCAAATTCACTGCAAATGAACACTCACAATTACCCAAATGCGAGTAGGTAGTTACCGGTTTCACCACCAGGTGGCTGATTCGGGTCAATTAACATGGCAGGTATATAAGAAAGTTCCCTTAAACTTGAATATTATCAATTTAAGTGGCTCGATTTTCAAATAACCCTTATGTGTCTAATACTTATACTAATGAAAATATGTCCAGTAAAGCAAAATATTATCTGTCCACTAAAAGAAAAGATATTTCATTTTTCGGGATTTTATAGCATGGGGTCTATGGGGAATCTCCCCGAGCTAGAAGTCACATTTTCAAAGAAAATTAATTTTTCAAAGTTGATAAACACTTTTTAAAACCACATTTCTACGTGTAATTTTACAAGTAGATTTCAAATATGATATTACTTTGACTGAATTTTTAATTTTTAATGACGTTAATCAATATTATTTCTACTCGCATCTGGGTTATTCACAAGTTTTATACAGTTAATTTCAAATTGGAATTCACTCATTAAATTTTACTAAGCTCACTCACTCAAAACCATATCAAATATGATCAATATTAATAAATACCTTTGTTATCTCCTTAGAGGTTAGGATACCAATGTTACATGCTGCTTCCTCAGGAAGATACAGCTGGCGCCCTCTGGTGTTCTGGTCCTCAGATATTGGATTTGTCAACTTCATATTCACAACATACAGAAATGACTTAGAACCAACTTTTGGACAACTGTTACAAAGCGCATTAGCAATCTGAATGTAAAACAGAATTACATATTAAAAGGTAGATTTGTAAAAAACAGCTCCATGGAGTAGCAAATCCCATAAATGAAGCATATCTATTTTGAATTTAACCAAAGCACGTTAATGGGGCAATCAAATTACATTTAAAAGGAGAACAAGTTTACAAAATGGTGGCTATTTATAATTTGAACCAAATCAACTTATATTTGAATTAACAAAATTTACGTTTCTTTATGAAAAATGAGGGCTATTTTGAATTGATGTCACTAAGGAAATTCTTCCATGAGCAGAAATCCTATGCCTATGATGTAAGTTAAACTGAATCTTATAACTGGTATTGATGTCATCGCCCGAGGCAGTGTATTTAGAGGGATGGATAGCTTCTCTTTTTTCATTCAACGAGATAATCAGGACACCAAGTAACATTTCCAAAAACTCTCAATTTCAGAATATTTTGGAATAATATCATCCTCACATACTAATTTTAAATATCATATGAAACCAAACTTTAGTTTAGAGACATCATGATTTCTAAATATGTAATTGAGCATTTTATGTCACTAATTAGTTAATTAGTACTCTTCATTTATAACATGCCAGATCTAAACAGTGGGTGTGTTTTATTTTTTAAATTTTTCTTATTTTATGTGTAACGTTGTTATTGAAAGCGAACATACAATGACAAAAGGGAATTTGCCGTATGATTGTGTCTTATGCCATGAAAAATATATCAATGAAATAAACTTATTGTTTAAAAAAAAAATTAGTTAAATCAAATCAATTTTAATAACATATGACGATAAAATTTACAAAATGGATCAAACCAATGAGTTCAATTCTGTATAGAAGAGAAGTGTCTTGCTCATAACCAATGAAAATGGCTTAAAACTTTCAAGTCATCAACGGATTCAGTTAAACTACAAGCTCATACCTTGAATCTCACTTTCATACTATATCAATACACCTGGAAATCCTGCTGAGTTAATTGAGATATTGTATTAATAGACTTATAAAAATCAATATGTCACGAAATATAAGAAATGGCACTTAAAAGGTTAGGTAATGTCTAGTTACTGAGTGAAAGACAAAATTAGGAGTATATTACAAACGTGATTTCTTCAGAAACTTGATAATGCGCTTCCTCAATTTTATATATTTTTAGAAAATTGTGACATCCTAGACTGGAAATATAAGGAATCTTACCCTGATGTTAGAATAACACAGAAAGGTGACTGATTAAAAGAAACATGGGTAGAATGTAAGAAGCTCAGAAACTTCTCTTCTCTTTTTATTCACAGAATTAATTAAGACCTTAAGAATAAAAGTACTAATAAAAGTGCTAATAAAACATTAACACTTGTAGAGGCTTTGTTTATAGCATCATAAGCCACTTGAAGTATTGTCACAATACTGACCCTCTTGTCATAAGGCTGATCCTCTTGTCATAATACTGACCCTCTTGTCATAATACTGACCCTTTTGTCAAAATACTGACCCTCTTGTCATAATACTGACACCCTCGTCATAATACTGACTATCTTGCCAAAATACTGAGCCTTTTGTCAAAATACTGACCCTCTTGTCCACAATCTTGTCATAATACTGACTCCCTTGTTATAATACTGACCCTCTTGTCAAAATACTGACCCTCTTGTCATAATACTGACCCTCATGTTATAATACTGATCCTCTTGTCATAATACTGACTCTCTTGTCACTATACTGACCCTCTTGTCATAATACTGACCCTCTTGTCATAATACTGACCCTCTTGTCATAATACTGACCCTCATGTTATAATACTGACCCTCTTGTCATAATATTGACCCTTTTGTCATAATACTGACCCTTTTGTCATAATACTGACCCTTTTGTCATAATACTGCTTGCGCTTTGTTGTCCCAGGTCTAGGTTGACCCTTAGCTTCAGTGGTCTCCCATTCATTCTCCTCATCTTCATACTTATAGATCTCTTTCCCTACAGGTAGCAGCTGGTCATCTAACTCCTCTACAAGTACACAAATATGCACATGTATTTACTAGATCCGGTACACGTGCACTCATTCATACATCAAATACATATGCACTCAGGCATCAAGGGCATATTATATGCACTCATATATTCGAGGAAGGGAACATGGAGACAGATGAATTATATTAAGCTACTTAGTTCATTGAAGAAGCTGACAGGCTCTACCCTACACTGCTTTGAAACGGTATATTTGATACAGTACTTAACATAACATCATAATATGTGAAATATACAGGAGAACTTGTGTATGTGGAACACATGTGGAACCTAAGAATAGTGTTCCACTCTGGAGGTGTTCCACTTATGGGTAGAAAGAGATCTGATGGGCCTGCACTTATGGAGGTGTTCCGAGGTGTTCCACTTGGCAAGTTTTACTGTGCTACTATTAATGACATTTGCTTGACTTAAGGTTAAGGAGAACTGTTTGACCAGTAAGGTTCAAATTAATGTTGTTTGTAATAAATCCTTACTGTATTCATGTAGTGTCTTGCAAGTTCTCAATGCTACAGCCATCTTAGCCAGCTTCCTGGTTGGCATGGGTGATCCTTTTATTGCCTCCTTTATAGGAGAGTTGATCGGAAGATGCAGAGTGGCAATATATTTCCTTGTCCCCCTATCTTCCACTTCCTCTACATAGCACTTGGGGGTGAGGTGTGTGAAAGCATCACTTGGCAGTTTGGCACAGTACCTAAAAGAACAAGACACACGGTATACAATTGTAGACCTCTCTTGAGGTCAACTGGCAAAATTGTATACAGATACTGTAAAAACATTTTTTTCAAAAGTAGGGGTCAACAGTTCCTAGTAGCGGTCAACAGTACATACTGTTGACCACTGATCAACCAATCAGAATTGAATATTTGAATTGAGGTACTAACAATGATAATTATCACACTTTGAAGAGCAAAATGGCCGCCATAATTTACTCTTAATAATTTGAACAGTGATTTTCCTGGAATTTTGATGACAAGATTCATGTGGCACCTACCCACCAAGACATGCCTAGCAGCACAAGAAGACAACCATACCTACATGTACAATTTTCAATGATAATCATTGTCATAAGCGTGAAATAGTAACTAAAAATTTAGTGTCTTATATTTAAGACCAATGCATTTATGACATCATTTCCTGTAAGAAATCTCGAAGAGAATGTTGCAAGAATTATGGACGCAGACTGATTTGAGTAAAATGCAGCTGGAAAGGTATTAAACACACCTTCAGTAAAAAGCATTCACGTTGCCATGTATATGATACAGAGTCAATTCGACTTTCTGCTAATATCCTCTTTGTTTTTCATAACTTACTTTCTTAGAATGAGCTTTAACCTTTCAGACTTATTAATGGCTCACATTCATCTCTTTCTAAATATCTAAATTAATAGAGGGGGGATGAATGGGACACACACCTATGATATCCCAAATTTTCGTAATATAATACCCCTAGCAAGTTTTTGTTGCATAGTTTGTTGAACTGTACTATTTGATGTACTGTACTATTTGATGTTCTGTACTATTTGATATACTTTACCATTTGATGTTCTGTACTATTTGAAGTACTGTATCAAAGGGATTTTGCATACTATTACCTTGAAAAATAAATTTTTTAATCATGACAATTAATATTAAGAATGTCGGAGAGACTAAAATAACAGTAAAAGCAAATGGTGAATATGGATTTTTTATAGAGATTGGAGACTGTGAAAATGTCAAATCAAATAACTTAATGGATTCTAAATGGAATACAAAGTTGTCATTTCACACTTCCATTTAATCTTAAGGCGCAGACTACTGGCACCAAATTACTGACAAACACTATAATAACGATCTGTACACCTAGTATTAGCCTATACATAAGCTTAATGTCATGCTTGTTATACTATTAATCTCATGAGTAGCGTAAAATGTATTTCAGACCCAACCATTTATTACTTTGTTATGCACTATGCTTATTGCGGTTAGTAATTCAGGATGTTCGACTGAGTGGTCCACAACTAGTTCAAAATTGTATGCTTTAATGCTTTTATGTATTAAGGGGATAAAATGAACACCAGGCTCCATTGAGGAGTTTTTGATTCAATGTCTAAACAACCCAATGTATCTAATATATATAATATTCAATATTGTTTTACCTGAGGATTTGAACAAAAAAACTAGTTGCAACGAAATGAAATCATCTCATGTTTTTTATTTAAATTTCATAATATTTAATATATCTATATATACAATAGATGGCAGTAGAAATAGATGGAAAAATCAATTTTCTCATCATTTTTTGATACTTTAACTTTTGAACATGAAATAGCAAGGCTGAGTTAAATCCCCATAGAGCCCATGTTAAAAATCTTGAAAATTGAAATACCTTTATCATTGAGCACATTTAAACTATCATATAAAAAATGTTGATCTCAATAAGTCCATAGAATTTATTTGTATTCTGGTAAATTTATCAGTCTGCTCTGGCATGTTTTAGGGTGAAATTAGAGTAACTCTCCTCACTTAACAGACATCTAGACTACAATTTACAGGCATCCAAATAATTGCACCTTTAACAAGTTATCTTTAAACCCCTAATGTGACTATATTTTTTTCTTGAACGTTGTAATCTAAAGTTTCAGAAAAAATTGTAAGATGCATGAGTGTTTAGAGGCAAAGTGTACTTTCCATATAGAGCATGTAGTTGAAACAGAAATTCCAAATAAATTTCAAATTTGGAGTGATGAGGTAGCAATCTAAAGGTGTTACATACAACAGAACATACAGTCACCTAATCACTTATATCATAAACAGTCCCCCAAATGGGAGATGGCATGCTATTTGAGAAATAAAGTGGCTGAGAAAAGGGAATGTAGATAGCGCACAAAGTGATATGCTATAAATTGATGTTCTAAAGGGGGCCCAGTTCAATATTCCAGTGATCAAATCTTTTATAAAAAGTAATTTAAAGTCTAACTGTACTAAGCAAGAAGTGGGTGCAAGGTGGCCAAACCAAAGCATGCTGGATTTCTTCAAAATAGAAGACTTCTCTTTTGACTTTCAATTTGATTTTGTCCACAAATTTACATGACCAGGATCACAAGAGTCATGTTGGAAATAATATTATATAAACATCCAGAAAAGGGTACTCTGAAAATGTGGCTGAGAAAAAGTGAAAGTATAGTGCAACTTGGATATACGTATATTACTGTATATGAAGAGGGAAAAGTCTGGTCTATTTTTTTGAATCTTCTAGAAAGGTATCATATTTTCCAAAAATGGCAAAAAATGTTCAATGACAGTGATTTTTGTACCTGTTGATTAGTCCAATGGCAGAGGTCATGGTCACTGCAGGGGCGCCATCTTCATTAACTGGTCTATAAGGGGGCAGTAAATCTTGGTCACATATCTGTTCACTCTCATCATCTGATTCATCGTCATGGTTGTGACACTTTCCTTTCAAGATCTATAGATATACAGAAGAAGGCATTTTGGATATGGGAATTATCCCAAAGAAACAAACATTTTACATCAGCAGTAAGAAGAAGTTACAAGAATAAGATTAAGATGGACATTGGAAAATTGTATTTTTCTGACAATCACTGAAATTTCAGAAAATATGAAAAAATATAATTTACCCAGTTCATCCATGGAGGGGTCGATAATTTCATTGTACTTTAGTATCATTTGTGGATTTAATTCCTCACCTTTTCAATATCCTTGAAAACCTGTAGTTCAGTAGAGAAAGTATCCCAAGACTGATTCTCCACAAGCATATAGAACTTTGACACAACAGCTCTGGCACGACCCTACAATGATATTTACATCAATATCACTTACATATTATTATGACCGACATAGGTGACATCATCAATACACAACTTTCTGGCTTTCTTTGTAAATCCAGATCCTCAAAGCTGACACTTTCAAATGGTATATTGGAACTTTGTAGAAAAATCAAACTTATTGGGATCATCCTAGAAAAAAGAAATATGTAATGTTTCAAATAAAACATATTCCACCTTTGTTTCTCAATGAAAATATCAATTAATAATGGATGTGATCTACTTGGATGCTTCTAAAGAGAGAACAAACACTAAAAACACGGAAGTGCATGATGCATTTACTTTATAACATTGCAGAGTTCTTGAGCAGACAACCTGAACGCTAGGATCAAAGTATAAATAAGCGGTCATTTAGATTCAACACAGGAAATATCTGACAGTGTTTTAATCAAACAAAAGTGCAAATGGAAATCCACTAAAATAAATTTTATAGCTTTAATTTAGCCGTAACAAGATCCAAAGCATTTTGTAATTGCTCTATCAATATAAAGTGGATGGTAACCATAGTACTTATTAAATCATCGAACTCATCTGTGGTGCAACAAGCTATTATATTCCCGCAACAATCGGGCTGGCGAGACAGGTAACTATCTGGATTAACCAATTATGCCATACATTTAATATTACATTAATCCTCCAGCAATCAATAAATCTAGCATACTTTTTTATGATTTTCTAATATATCAATGAAAATGGTATATTGAGTATTGAGCAAACATTGCAGATCCATTTATCATTATAGACCAGATAGGTACAGATTACAAAGAGCACTTTATTATTGCTATTCCTTTTACATCATGGTTATTCTATAATCAAGTCATCGAAGGTTTAGTGTTGAGAGTGATATTTAGTTGGTGTATTATAGTAACTGTCATAGATAATAGACACAGATATTGATGGCACTAAATGAGTATAACTAGTTTAAACCTTGACACTCGACTCATATGACATATTATCTCAAGAAAATCTTTCAAATTAACTAGTGTAAACTTGAGACATGACTCAAAAGACACATCTGGTGATAGTTTGTGTGCCTAAACTAGTTTCAAACTGAGACATGACTCCAAAGACACATCAGGTGATAGCTGATGCACCTTAACTAGTTTCAAACTGAGACATGACTCAAAAGACACATCTGGTGATAGTTTGTGTGCCTAAACTAGTTTCAAACTGAGACATGACTCCAAAGACACATCTGGTGATAGCTTATGCACCTTAACTAGTTTCAAACTGAGACATGACTCCAAAGACACATCTGGTGATAGCTTATGCACCTTAACTAGTTTCAAACTGAGACATGACTCCAAAGACACATCTGGTGATAGCTTATGCACCTAAACTAGTTTCAAACTGAGACATGACTCCAAAGACACATCTGGTGATAGCTTATGCACCTTAACTAGTTTCAAACTGAGACATGACTCCAAAGACACATCTGGTGATAGCTTATGCACCTAAACTATTTTCAAACTGAGACATGACTCCAAAGACACATCTGGTGATAGCTTATGCACCTAAACTAGTTTCAAACTTATACATGACTCCAAAGACACATCTGGTGATAGCTTATGCACCTAAACTAGTTTGAAACTTATACATGACTCCAAAGACACATCTGGTGATAGCTTATGCACCTTAACTAGTTTCAAACTGAGACATGACTCCAAAGACACATCTGGTGATAGCTTATGCACCTAAACTAGTTTCAAACTGAGACATGACTCAAAAGACACATCTGGTGATAGTTTGTGTCCCTAAACTAGTTCCAAACTGAGACATAACTCATCTGACGATAGCGTGTGTACATAAATTAGTTTAAAACTGGGGTATGACTCCCAAGACACATCTATTGACAGCCTGTGTCAAAAACAAGATTAAAGTTTCTCCCAAGAGCAAATATTAATAATATTCCAATTTCTTGAATATGAGCAGACAAAACAAGATGCCCTGGGAATTCAACATGGGAATCACGTTGTCACACAATCTTTTGTAAAAAATGTTTTACAAAACACTTATTCAACACCTTTTCACAATTCATTTTTTAACAAAGGTGCCGTTTACATACATACATACGCTATTATTCTCTAGTATCATGGGTAAATCATCAATTTTTGATTTTATAAATTTTATAAACCATGTAATATATTAACAATACTAAAAGATAGGATCAGAATGGAAAAGTGGCAAAGCGATTCCTTTCCTGTCCATAGAGCTCTGATTTTCCCTCCTCTCTCAAACAGGCACATTTTGACATACATTTTTTAAAAAATATGCAATTTGAGAATTTGTTTGAGTAATGGAAGTGCAAGTTACTAATGCTGGTTTCATAATTGGAATTTTTGAGCATTTTTGAGATGTACTGAAAAATTAGATAAAAGCTGGCTAAGGCCTTGCCTTTTTTAAGGCTAGTCTGAAAAATTGTAAAACTATGCGCGTAGCATACCAGCCAGGTGGAAGAGGAACGAGCAGATTGATTTTTTTTATTTAGTTTTGACTGAACAGAAATTTCATAACTAAGAGGGGAAATTACATAAATAATAGAACATACACCAGTATAATTGTCATACACAAGGCATTATCATGTTGTTTCACCTTAACTCTCCTCCCTATATGGCGTAAAGGTTACCTTAGACTGCACAAAGCTTCTGTAGTCTTTGGAGGGATCAAAGCGAACCACTAGATTACACTTAGGGATGTCTACCCCCTCTTCAACTGCATTTGTCGCAACCATCAAGTTTGTCTCGTGCATTCTGAACTTTCGTAAGATCTCTTCCTGCTCCTTGTTCTTCCCACCTGGCTTCTGAGTCTGGGAGTATCCTAAATAGTAGAACATGGTTTCTTATGTGATGAGGAAGTGTTACGGATGTTGTGTTTGCAATGTTACATCTTAAAGTAATATAACTTTAATTTTAAAAATATTTATTAACATTTATTCTTTCAACTTCGCCATTTAACAAAACTTCTCTAAAATGTATTTTGGCTTTCTCTAATCTTCTCTTCAGAATAAAGGTATGTACATGTACATGTATATTTTGTTTTTCACTTTCAAGATAAAAGGATTATATGATATAGCTTACCTGTGAGATGGGCACTATTAAGGAAGAACAAGTCTTCGTGCCAGTTACAGAACTCTTGTAAGAGTTTATCAAGTGCTACAGCTGTATGTCGCCTTTCCACGAAAACAATTCCACACAACGCATCTGCACGTTTTGACTGAATTTGTGATGGTTCAGATTCAGATTCTGTCGCGACAGCAACATAATGCATTGCGTTCAAACTACCATCTCTTTCCCGATCCTTAACCTTTTTATTTGAGCTCTTCAAAGCTGGAGGTAAAGGTAGAGATTCATCGTCAGAGAAATCAGAATCAGTGCCAGGTTCATTTTGCTCCTCGTCTGATGACTCGGCGCCATCCATATAATTGTCATCATTTACAACACCTGGCTCCCCGATGATTTTAAAATCTGCTTTTGGTTTATATTGGCATAAAATGTCTACCAGATGTAAAATCCTTGGTGAAACGTAAAGTTTGAAATCTTCAAGAGAATATACAAATTTATTAAAGTTGTGATTGAACAATGCTGAGACGATCCTCAGCTGCGTGAGGGCAAACTGAAAAATCCGCCGATTGAGATCATGTTTTTCTGTTTCTTCAAGTTTCTTCAACTGTTTGGATATCGTACGTGCCACTTTTTCGCAGCACCATGGCCCCAAACCATGTAATATCTTGTGGCATTCCATTAGGGACGATTTAGCTATTGCATGTGGATCTTTTTCACTTTCACCAAACTTCATGTTAGAGTCTTGTAAAAAATCTATGGCACTGTTTAATATTGCACCTAGTGACTCAACAAGTCCAGTTTTATCGATGTATGGTTCACATTTTATAACAAACTGCTTGGGTTTTGCCCCAAATGAGTCTACTGCAATCATATCACTGGTTGTTTCCACTGTGCAACGTAAGGTCTGCTCAAGTGTGGTGAGACTCGCCTCAAGACTGTTGGAAGTATTACACTTATTGTTGAGCAATGATGCCGTCAGCCCCAAAACCCTCGGTTGATCTGAATCGGTACGCACATCATCATAGTGACTCATTATCTTCACATATGGATGATTACCTACCGCTTGATGGCATTCATCAAATATCAATACATTCACATGTGATAGTTTCAGAAAACCACGATTCAAAACATCAAGGAATATCTGAGCTGTCATAACCAGAACTTGTGATTGGTTGAATACCTCCACCCATTGGTCACAAGACCATCCATCAATGCCCATATTTGGCACATATTCCCAGACTGTCAAGTCTGCGTGAAGTCTGATAACTTTTGCCTGCTGCGACACCAGGGATTCTGCAACAAATAAAGAATCGACGAATTAATTAGTCTGACTCCAACGTAGAAAGTGTAATATACAGGTGTCTACAGTTTCACTTAGTACAAATTAGAAAAGTATGAATCAATCAAAAAATATCAAACTTCATTAGTAGCTAAAATTACAAAACATACATTCATTTTCAATTGCACATAAATGAATATCGATATGATCCTACGTACATTCAATTCAACTTTCATTATGCGTTATATTACTTCAGTGTTAATTGGCGCATGTCTATTCCAGCTTTTCTTAGTAAAAATATTTCTTGCATTTCCAGAGAATTCATGTTATAACATGCTTGGTTGCCATGGAATCCGCCTTCCTCTTTGTGTTATTTGACACTGCAAGAAAACCACTGTGGCATTTCCCTGATGCGCAAACACATCTGGCTAAGTGTAACTATCTATTGATGTATCATAAAGTTCACTTATAAAATAACAATAATAGAGTCTGATAATGGGATTGATATACATGTTTTATGTATTAGGCAGAACAATGAATATATCTCCCATACACGCAATTCCTGCTTTGCTGGTAATCTATTATGAATGAGACAATACCATTTGGCTTAATAACAATATAGGCCTTAAAAATTACCATTATTTTTTGGGGTTAGTAAAAGTAACAAAATTTTCAGAAAAGGTGCCTTTAAAGAGTGGTTACCAATATTGAAAAGTGCATTTAAAGGTATGTGTCACGGAATCATTAGAAGTCCACAAATAACATTAGGCACCAGTGCAAAAGTAAGACACATAAGCAATGTTACCAAGGGAGTCTACCAAATGGGGCTACATCACATAAGCTATGTTTTATTTATCAATCTTCAATACAATTTACTTTCAAAGATTTCAGATGATAAATGATGATTAAAAACAAAGCAAATCAGCTGCGAGCACACATCCGTATTCTCATGGATTTACCTATAGATGTACAGTGGGAAGGCTTCAAGTAACATAAGCACATGTTTGAACATTCTCTTCAGTTATGGTTATTCTTCTCAGACCTTTCACTGGTATTAGGCATAAGTGGCAAAAGCCTCGCAGCATGTGCAAAACATGTAATTTACAGTAAAAACAGAAGGTACTTTGCTTCATAGGTGGTCTAATTCACCATCGACTGACTTCATATGAAGGATCATTTTCTCGGGAGGGGCTTGAATGACCCTATAACAAGGCAGTTGTGGTCATGACCTTATAACAAAACCTGCCCATGTAACAAAGCAGTTGTAATCCTGGACTTAAGGACAGTTGAGACCCTGACCATACAACAAGACCTGCCCTCATAACAAGACAGTTGTGATCCTGGCCTTATAATATGACAGGTATGGCCCTAACCCTGTACCAAGACAGTTGTGGTTCTGACCTTAAACAAGAGAATTGAGGCCCTGACCTTAAACAAGACAGTTGAGGCCATGACCCTTTAACAATACAAATGTGATCCTGACCTTATAACAAGACAGTTTTTGGTCCTGACCTTAAACAAGACAATTGAGGTCCTGACCTTCAACAAGACAGTTGAGGCCCTGACACTGTAACAAGACAGTTGTGATCCTGACCTTAAGGAAGACAATTGAAGCCCTGACCTTAAACAAGACAGCTATGGCCCTGACCTTGTAACAAGACAGTTGTGGTCCTGACCTTAAACAAGAGAATTGAGTTCCTGACCTTATAAGAAGACAGCTGAGGCCCTGACCCTGTATAACAAGACAGTTGTGATCCTGACCTTAAGGAAGACAATTGAGGCCCTGACCTTAAACAAGACAGCTATGGCCCTGACCCTTTAACAAGACAGCTATGGCCCTGACGTTGTAACAAGACAGTTGTGGTTTTGACCCTAGAACAAGATAGTTGTGACCCTGACCTTAAGTAAGACAATTGAGTTCCTGACCTTATAACAAGACAGCTGAAGCCCTGACCCTGTAACAAGACAGTTGTGGTCCTGACCTTAAGTAAGACAATTGAGTTCCTGACCTTATAACAAGACAGCTGAGGCCCTGACCCTGTAACAAGACAGTTGTGGTCCTGACCTTAAGTAAGACAATTGAGTTCCTGACCTTATAACAAGACAGTTGAGGCCCTGACCCTGTAACAAGACAGTTGTGGTCCTAACCCATATAACAAGACAGTTGTGGTCCTGACCTTAAGCAAGACAATTGAGGCCCTGAACTTATAACAAGACAGTTGAGGTCCTGACCCTGTAACAAGACAGCTATGGCCCTGACCTTGTAACAAGAAAGTTGTGGTTTTGACCCTAGAACAAGATAGTTGTGACCCTTACCTTATAACAAGACAGTTGAGGCCCTGACCTTGCAACAAGACAGTTGTAGTACTGACCTAATGATAAGACAGTGTTGCCCCAGACACTAACCTATAGCATAAGTAAATATATTCAACATTTGGCCTTTCTGCTTACCCTCATCATTTACACCAAAGAATAACTCAAAAAGTATTTACCTGCTCTTGTCCAATAAAATCATGTAACAGAATATCAGCTTCGATAAACAACCCCTTACCATACACTAAGCACAAAAATCTGTATAATCTAATTGCAATGTAGTTCAAGATACTCACAGGTTTTTAGAGCCCTTGTTGCATGCAGCCACCTAATTTATATATCTATGTCTGCCCCTGCCTGACAAGCAACTTCCAGGCGATATAGACAGATGTTACAAGTCAAATGTACAGGCTTTTTTATTGATAAAATATCATCATGATTTACGTGGAAATCCCAAGATTAAAATGACATTGTTATTACCATGGTAATTAGTTTGTATTTTTATGCTTTTTTAATTTTACATTACTTAAAAGAGTGTATTTTTTATAACTGTGTATTTTAGTTCTTTATAATTACACTCCTTACACTTATGCTTATTTAGAAAATGACTAAAACATCGTTTTATTCCCAGGATATATATATATATATGTTTATATAAAACCTGTGATTTATGCAACACCAGTAAGACCTTTATCACATCTCCAATCAAATAATAACTAGTTTACAGCGAACCAGTCTAGCCTTAAATCATTGGAACATTAATTATATTATTAATCTGTCTGTCGCAATCATAGACAATTTATTTCCGATAAAACAAGTCTTTTTAACTAGTATCTCCAATAACAATATGTCATACCTGTTGTAGTAAATCTAACTTAGACAAATTCAATTCATCATTGTTGCCGTTCTTCTACTGAGCGTATATCTTATAACTTAGATTAGACTGAAAATCGAAACTAACAGCCTGTCATTCAGACTCACCCATTTCCTATTTGTCAGAATGGACACACCTTAGAACCATTACATGGGTGTAGCTACTGCCAGGCATAAGTCAAGCGAGGCTACTGCTTCATCAAACATTTTTCAACTAAATCTGTGGAAATGAAGCGAAATGTGGAAAGGATAATACTATACCTTCTTTAGCCTATATTTGCCTCGTCTAATTTAACTTACCTTGCCTAATTTAAATTGCCTCCCCTAATTCAATGATGCACCTCTTTTAATTTGCCTCTCCTAATTTAATTTGCCTTGCCTAATTTAATTTGCCTCACCTAATTTAATTAACCTCTTCTAATTCAATTTGCCTGACCCAATTCCATTTGCCTCACCTAATTCAATATGTTTCTCCTAAATTTGCCTCACCTAATTAAGTTTCCCTCTCCTAATTCAATTTGCATGACCTAATTTAATTTGCCTTGCCTAAATTAGCATACCTCGCCTAATTTCTCTCCTTATTCAATTTGCCTCAACTAATTCAATTTGCCTCTCCTTATTCAATTTGCCTCTCCTAATTAAATTTGCCTCACCTAATTCAATTTGCCTGACCTTATTCAATTTGCCTTGCCTAATTTAACTTACCTCATCTAATTTAGACTGTCTCTCCTAATTCAATTTGACTCACCTTATTCAATCTGCATTACTTAATTCAATCTGCCTCATCTAATTTAATTTGCCTCATTTGGCTTCAATTTGGCTTACTTAATTCAATTTACCTCACCCAATTCAATTTGGCTTACCTAATTCAATTTACCTCACCCAATTCAATTTGGCTTACCTAATTTAATTTACCTCACCTAATTCAACTTACCCCACCCAATTCAATTTGGCTTACCTAATAATTTTATCTCACCTAATTCAACTTACCTCAGCCAATTCAATTTGGCTTACCTAATTTAATTTACCTCACCTAATTCAACTTACCTCACCCAATTCAAGTTGGCTTACCTAATTTAATTTACCTCACCTAATTCAACTTACCCCACCCAATTTAATTTGGCTTACCTAATAATTTTATCTCACCTAATTCAACTTACCTCACCCAATTCAATTTGGCTTACCTAATTTAATTTACCTCATCTAATTCAATTTGGCTTACCTAATTAATTTACCTCACCTAATTCAACTTACCTCACCCAATTCAATTTGGCTTACCTTATTTAATTTACCTCACCCAATTCAATTTGGCTTACCTAATTTAATTTACCTCACCTAATTCAATTTACCTCACCCAATTCAATTTGGCTTACCTAATTTATTTAACCTCACCTAATTCCATCTACATTGCCTATTTTTGAATCTGTCTAAACCCCTGCCTAAGTAAGATTACTAATTAAATGTATTGCATCACTTCCTTTGATTTAAAACTTTATAATCTACAGTGCTCCACAGTATCATGCATCCATGACCCCATGTAGAAACATTCTTCCATATACTTTCTACTCTATTTCTGACTTTACCATGTACAAAGAGGGAAAAAATGAAGTCCCTAGTTTACATTCAAAACATGATTATCATTTCAAGGTCTACCATGAAGGTTTCTTATGCAAGGAAAACCTGGTATATGTTACTTTGAAATTTACCAGTTTCTCAATCACCTTAATTTGCTTGTAGGTCTACATGACAGATAAGTAATAGGAATTAACCTATCTACTAGATAGCACTTGAATGAACTTCTAATAGTTCAAGCAATAGTTTTGAAACT